ACATACCGAGTTCCGAGTTCCGGACCCCCGAACCCCGAGACCCGGCAGTCTCGGGTTTCGGGGTTCGGTGGTCCCGGCACTCGGAACTTGGGGAGATTTGGGGAGATCAATAAAATTTGATTTACAATTGAGTTGATTGGCAAACACATTGACTTACCCATGTTTGAAATATATTTTTGTTTACACATACTGAGTTCCGAGTTCCGGGTTCCGGACCTCCGAACCCTGAAACCCGAGACCCGGCAGTCCACAATTCAGGGGTTTGGGGGTTGGTAAAATGTGTATGAATATATGAAAGGTTGAATGAAACATTTTTGAAAGATGTCTCATATCAAATGTCAAATCCCGAGTTTCAACTTCCGGATTTCGGGAGTGCCGAGTCCCGAAACCTGGAGTCTTGAAACCCGAAATTCGAAACTCGGGACTTAACATTTGATATGAGACATCTTTCAAAAATATTTCATTCAACCTTTCATATATTCATACACATTTTACCAACCCCTGAACCCCAGAATTGTGGACTGCTGGGTCTCGGGTTTTGGGGTTGGGGGGTCCAGAACTCAGAACTCGGTATGTGTAAACAAAAATATATTTCAAACATGGGTAAGTCAATGTGTTTGTGAATCAACTCAATTGTACATCAAATTTTATTGATCTCCCCAAATTTTCCCAAGTTCCGAGTTCCAGACACCCGATAACCGAGATGTACCAACCCCCGAACCCCGAAACCTGAAACCCGGCAGTCTCGGGTATCGGGTGTCCGGAACTCAGAACTCGGGGAAAATTTGGGGAGATCAATACAATTTAATTTACAATCGAGTTAATTGACAACACATTGACTTAATCATGTTTGCAATATATTTTTGTTTAGACATACCGAGTTCCGAGTTCCGGACACCCGAACTCCGAAACACGAGACTGCCGGGTCTCGGGTTTCGGGTGTCCGGAACTCGGAACTTGGGAAAATTTGGGGAGATCAATACAATTTGATTCACAATCAAGTTGATTGACAAACACATTGACTTAACTATGTTTGCAATATATTTTTGTTTAGACATACCGAGTTCCGGACACCTGATACCCGAGACCCAGCAGTCTTGGGTTTCGGGGTTCGGGTGTCCGGAACTCGGAACTCGGTATGTCTAAACAAAAATATATTGCAAACATGGGTAAGTCAATGTGTTGTCAATCAACTCGATTGTAAATTAAATTGTATTGATCTCCCCAAATTCTCCCAAGTTCCGAGTTCCGGACACCCGATACCCGAGACCCGGCAGTCTCGGGTTTTGGGGTTTGGGGTTTGGGGGTTGGTACATCTCGGTTTGGGGTTTGGCACTGAAAATTTGACATATATATTTTTGTGAGTGTTGTGCTTCTGGTGTCCATGCTTAGAAATAGGATTTGTTGCACACCAGGGTTCAGGTGTGGGGTTTTTCCACTTCAGTCCTGGATTATTGGTCAATGCCACACATGATCGATTCATGTTTTTGTGCTTAGGGGTTTAGATTTGGTGGTTGATGGTAGGTATATGCACTGATAGTGTACATGTATCCTATGTGTTTGATTCGCTGGTGGCTACATCAGCTGTATGTCTTGATGGAACATATCTAGGCTCACCCATATATGTAATACACCCCCGTCGGCCCGCCCGTCTATGTATTATCCCCCACGTCAGCCAACCCATCTATGTAATACATCCTATGTTGGCCCACCCGTCTATATAATACATCCTACATTGGCCCACCCGTCTATATAATTATACCCCACCTCGGCCCACCTGTCTATGTAATAAATATTTTATCGCACCCTCGGCCCACCCGTCTATCTGATATCCCTTTCGTCGGCCCACCCGTATATGTAATACATTCCATGTCGGCCCACCTGTATATGTAATACACCCTACGTCAGCCCACCCGTCTATGTAATATTTCCCTACCTCGGCCCACCCATATATGTAATACACCCACGTCGGCCCGCCCGTCTATATAACAATATTTGCCTTACATCTCTCTTCAGCCCAGCTGTCTATAATATCCTACTCTACATATTACCCAGATGGGCCCACCCATCTCCATGAATGATCATATTCCCCCAGCCCATCCGTCAAAATTAAGGATATATATATCATTGGCATACATGGGCCCACCCGTCTCCATCGGAAATAATATGTGTCCCGGCCCATCTGTCATCATCGAGAATATACACAACATGGGCCCATGATCAGCTGGCCCGTCTCATACGGGATATTATGGAGGTCGGGTGGCCCGTATAATACGGAATTTGTCACTGAAGGGGCTCCTTACATGTCATAGATACTGAACGCGACATAGGCTTACTTGTCATAGATACTGAACGCGACCACGCGACATAGGCTTACTTGTCATAGATACTGACGCGACTGCACGACTGATGTAAACGCGACGACGTACAAACAAATATGCACAAATGCTGGACTTGGATATTTTAAAATTTTGTTGCACACTCACGGCATCAATGATCACACTATTCAGGTGTCGAGTTTCTCAATAGGCATAGTTTTATGACCCTTAGGTAGTACTCTATAACTTAGCAATAATTACATGTATGTTATGAATGATATTGATATCTAGCTCTAATTTGTAATAGTTTATCTGACTTAGAAGAGTTAGATGTATTGTAGAAAAAAACTCGTCTAACATTATCATCTTTAGCTACTTTCTTCATAAATAGCTGTGATTGTGCTAATGTTACGAATTTTTGTGAATTCTCCCTAATTTGCCTTGGGAGGGTTTTCCTGATGTAAGAGAAAGGCATTGGTTGGGGCAGAACAAGAAGCTCATGCGTATTACGGTTATTTTATATTCAGTCATTGTAAATAATATATCCAGAGAGAAAAGCCACGCCGCTTTTAATGGACACACAAGCGTTACTAATAGATAAAGAGGAAGAACTGGTTGCAATGCGAGAAGCAGCATATAAGGACACGTTACTTGCAGCAGAGAGGATCACATATGTGGAATAGAGGATGGAAGATTTGCTTGTAGTGCTAAGAGAATCACGCAGGGATTAGGTTTATCCTAGAGCAAGTGAGGTGGGATAAGAAAAAAAAATTATCATCTTCGTTGCTAGCTTGATGAGTCCTGATTTTTCATACCCGAGAAATCAACGACGGCCGTCAAAAACATGGGCTAGTAACTCCAAAACGTTGAATGAAAGTTAAACAACCAAATTTACCTGTATGTCAAACAAACGGAGACGTACCACGTCTTTCAGGACCCTACGACTAGTAGTTTCAGGACGTACGTTCATGACCTACACTACATGATTTCTTAGACGGGGTTCATCTTATTTCACTTGTTGGTAGTGTTATATTTCAGTCGCAAGCTCAGCACTTTTGGCTGTCAGAACTATCTTGGACCACCGCAGCAGGTGAGCATGTGCACTTTTTGATTTCCTGCTGTCAATCAGATGCCACGGGAAAGAAATGAACAGATGGGCTTCTGTAGGATTCTACAGCTGACTTTCTTTGAACCAATTATACTGCTTATCATCGAAGTGCCTCTCACTGATAAGCCTTACCTCATGCCTCGTACATCAGCATGGACGAGTCGAGGATGGTATATATATGCCGCCTTTGTGAGCAATGGTAACCTCAAGTCCCAGCCTGCCTAGTGGTTCAAGTATGGCGACTGAAGCTCCTCAAGACCAGGATCAAATAGCCTATGTACCACTAGTTTCAGGACGTACTTTCAGGACCTACCATTAGTTTCAAGACTACTATGTCTTTCAAGACTACCATCAGTTTCAGGACGTACTTTCAGGACCTGCCATTAGTTTCAAGACTACTATGTCTTTCAGGACTACCATCAGTTTCAGGACGTACTTTCAGGACCTGCCATTAGTTTCAAGACTACTATGTCTTTCAGGACTACCACTAGTTTCAGGACATACTTTATATGGTTCTAAATATACAATCCGTTTCCTTGTAGTCATATTGTTACAGTGTGTGTAAGTAAAAGCAAGCATGTCGCATTGCTTGAAGATAAATGCTAGAGATATTCGGTAGAGATGTAAGATATATTCGAGATAAAATGTTGACAACTTGAAAACTAGTTAATCTAAGGCTGCGAACGATCTGGGATCCAACTTATCGATATCATAGCATAAAAGTTCCGCCTGGGACTCTGTGATAGCCTTCATGTTGTCTTTTGACGAAGTTAAAGGATACTGTGAAAGTCTTGAAGGCCATTGGCTACGAGTTGCGAACGCGTGCCAGTCCCCTTGTTGTATCGCAGTGAGATGTCCTGAGAACCAACTCTCCAAGCTGGCGGTCCATTCTCCTTCCCATCCCATATACTCTGCAAAGAGGTCCATGGGTGGCCATTAAGGTATAGCCGTCGTCAGTCAGGCCCAACAGAAGATTGATGTGAGCGTCCGTTACCGTGTTGTTGACGTCGGTACCAATGTGCTCAACATTCGAGTGTATGGAAGCGTCTGTGGAAGGGCCAGACAAGGCTGTCGAAATCAAATTATCTGGACCGAATTGTATCGCAAGTTGCCACGAAAGACCACCCATGCAGCAGAAACGGCGAGCAAACAGAAGTCGAAGCATATCTCGAACGTTGTTGTCATAATGTTCGAATACCCCCCTACGTCTTTTGAGAATAAGAGGCCTCTGGTCCAGATAATTTGGCCGTGGACCAGAAGCAGCGCCTAGCGGGCCTATGAGGTGTTGCTGATTTGCGAAGACCCGCTAGTCGAGGCCGCGAGTGAGACAGCGAATTGCGAAAAAACCACAGCAGTACGTCCGGATATTGCGCTCTCCAAAGACGTAGTCTGACTTCAGTTCTCTTCGACACGACTAACCTTCCACGAGACATGACGTGTAAGAGATGATAGGGGGGATAACAAGCAATGTGAAGAAGTTGGTTTTGGGGATATTTTTCAACCGATAGGCAAAGTGGGTTAGGCCCGTCATGATGCTGTTGGAGGTTAGTTCGTTCGAGGACGAGACGGGTTACTCAGTTATGGACAGGATGAGGGCCTGTTCTATCAAAACCTGCGACCGTTGTCACAGTGGAAGAAGGCACGAACTGGAGACAACCCATTGGGAGCGACGAAGTCCTGGGAATAGATGGCGCTGCACTAGTGAGGTTTATTGACGGATAGTTTGAATCAAGGTCTATATATCAAAGTATGAGATCAGTGTAGGCAATAACGACACGAAGCACTTACGGCGCCATTTTGATGGTGGGGCATGATGGGGAGAGGGTGCTGTAATGGCAAAAATTAATCATGAGAAAGTGCTTGTTTATAGGAGTAAAAACATACAACGATGGCCGGTACGATGGACTGTGTTGTGATAGTGGTTAGGATATTGTGAATTGTCTCGTGCTCTAGTGGGAGAGGGCGATCGACCGCGGCGAGTAAAGCGTTCTGGAGAACGTGGTCGATAATGATGAGCAGAGTAGTCACGGTCTCGTTGAGACGACGGATACTCTCTGTGCACGGGCTCTTGATGACGTTGTTTGCGATAGGGGTAGTAGGACATTTGATTCCGAGGAGGGGATACTGAACGACGTCGTTTTTTCCCATCGGAAACACTGAGAACAGATTGTGTCTGTATGCGACGAGGAGATGGACTTCTGCGATTGATGGTGTCCCCTTCAAGGGTGACTTCGCCTGGTTCGATATCGACGTCCAGACTATCGCCTGCGACAATAACCTGACCACGGCCATCCAAGGCCGTCTTTTGTCCCTCTGAGTGTTGCTGTTCGAGATCCCGCAACCACTCGATCTCCTTCTGCAAATCTTTCATCTGGTCATCCTTCTGCCGCTCGATCTCCAGCCGCCGCTCGATCTCTTTCTGCAACTCGATCTCCTTATTTCACAGGGCCTCCTTCTGCAGTTCGATCTCCTTCTGCCACTGGGTCTCCTGTTGCTGGGCCTCCTTCTGCCGCTGAGCCTCTAGCTGCTGGGCCTCCTTCTGCCGCTGGGTCTCCTGTTGCTGAGCCTCCTTCTGCTGCTGAGCCTCCTGTTGCCGCTGAGCCTCTAGCTGCTCGATCTCCTTCTGCCGTTGGGCCTCCTGCTGCTGGGCTTCCTTCTGCCACTGGGTCTCCTGTTGCTGAGCCTCCTTCTGCCACTGAGCCTCCTGTTGCCACTGAGCCTCCTGTTGCCGCTGAGCCTCTAGCTGCTCAATCTCCTTCTGCCGTTGGGCCTCCTGCTGCTGGGCCTCCTTCTGCCACTGGGTCTCCTGTTGCTGAGCCTCCTTCTGCCACTGAGCCTCCTGTTGCCGCTGAGCCTCTAGCTGCTCGATCTCCTTCTGCCGTTGGGCCTCCTGCTGCTGGGCCTCCTTCTGCCGCTGGGTCTCCTGTTGCTGAGCCTCCTTCTGCCGCTGAGCCTCCTGTTGCCGCTGAGCCTCTAGCTGCTCGATCTCCTTCTGCCGTTGGGCCTCCTGCTGCGACTCCTGCTGCTGTTCAGTTTCCTTTTGTTTCCTAACCCGCGCAGTTTCTGCTGCTCGTGCGTTTGCCTTCTCCTTGTATCGTTTTATCATATCAGCCCTCTTTGAACGTTGCTGTTCCTCCGTTAAGGGTTGAGCCTGGTGACGACGCATCCGGTGATGTCAAAGAAGAGGGACCGACTATCAGGATTAGACGTAGACACATTGATAGGGTTGGGTTGTGCTACCATGTCAATCTGGTCTCGAGCTATCTTCTGGAACCAGTCTGCTCGTATATTTGCAGGACGAGGTATACCGAGGGGATCACCAAATATGTTGTGAACAATGGTGTTCAACGTAAACATGCCGCAGGAGGATGAGTCCTTTTGAGTCGCGTGATTCAACGTATTTCCTTGATTTGCGAACGGGCCATTAAACTGCAGGGAAAGCCATCGCTGTAGTTTAGCAATGAAGTTTCCGGTTGCGTTTCGCAGATTTAGGGAGTCGCCTGTCTTCAAATAAGTTTTCGTTTAGAGAGACAACACAATTACATACCGTAACACAATGTTTTCTGTCCAAAGTCAATGCGAAACGCAACATAGTGGTTCGCTTCCGGGATGCACGCCGGGAAAAAGAGAACCTTGCCTTTAGAGAGTGTTTCTTCTAAGCTCTTGAAGGTGTTAGGTAAAGATTTGAAGTCCGGTTTTGCGTTATAGATGGCTTCGACAAGCTCGGTGTCCATGATGACAATATCAGTATGTGCTGGACCCAGTTGATCGACGGTTTTCTTTATCATCAGGTCCACGAGCGTGTTGGATAACCAAGCGTCGTCCGACAACAAGCTAGCGAGATGGAGTGTTCTTCTATTTCCGCCTAGAGCCGAGTTGGCAAGGTTCTTGTAGTACGGTAGACGAAACAGCAGTCGACAGGTGAGGTCAAAACACATAGTGGGTGAAGGCTGGGTGAATAAACCGTACCTTCTGTTCATATCTATTAACCATCTATGCGCATCCGCCCACGTCGTTTTGGCCTCGCGTACTGTGTGCATTTTCTCCCAAAGAGTCAACATCCAAAGAGGTAACGGGTAGTCTTTGCATCGAGGATGGAGGATCGAGTGCATTCCACTCCGAATTGTGGAGTCGAGTGACTCTCGAAGGCTACCGACCCAAATCTTTGGTGGTATTTTGATTGTGAGGTCGAGGTCCTCTTTCGGACGCGCTCTGGAAAAGCAAGATGCCCCACTCTCGGTAAAGCAATCGACTTCGACGTCGGGTACTTTGAACTTTAAGATTTCTTCTACAGTGATATCGTTAGAGGGGGGCAACAGCAATTTGTAGACTATATCTGGAATATGCATGACCTGCGATAAGACATCGACGTCATCTGGGTCTAATTGGTCGTGTCTGTCGACCCAGCTTCCAACCGGTACGTTGACAGTAACGCGCGGTGGAATCGAAACAGTCGTGGGGGAAGGTATATATTCATTATCGTCCATGTTGAACAGGTCTTCTTCGTCGGTACCATCGTAGTCCGAATAGTCGTGGTAAAGTTCGATATCGCCCGATTTCGGGTGAAACGACTGGAACGAGCGATCAGCGTCCTTGAGGAGACGTATTTTCTTGCTGTCGCGTGTGATTTCTGTGCGCGTTTCGAATTTGCCATTGGTGACGAATACGCGCTTGCGAGAATTTTGGCCTTTGAATGCAGGTTCTTCACCGTCTGGCCAGAATTGACCTGGCTTACTGCAATAGCCGACGACTAATGTGATAGAATCAGGCAACAACTAGCGAGAATTCAGAGGACATACTTGTAGGACCCCGTTTGCTTGAACTAGGTATTTGATCAATCTCTGGCCAAGGCTGTTCTGCCCAAGCTGTAGCCGCGAGGGATGTAGATCCCTTGTCGTTGTCTAAGGGTCAGAGATCAGCTATTGAAACCGTGTATAGCGATTTAACTCACTGGTAGTAGACGTCTCCACTGGACGTGGTCTGCTTGCAGACATTACAGCAAGTCGTTTACGAGGTCTAGAGATAGTATCCTCAGGTAAATTGGACGGTTTTGCGGAAGACCTTTGGCAAGGCATGTGGCTATCGGAGAGGATAAAAAGGACGCAGTCGTCAAATGTTTCCAGGGATGAATGAACTACGGAGCAACGACTCGCTGGAATTTCCAAGGAGAAGTTTATGATGGTGTTGATGATGCAAGAGGAAGAAGAGGTGAACTTAAGTCACGACTAATTAAAACACGTGACTCTGATTAATAAGGTATTGTTATTGATCTACAGTTACGTAAATGTGGGTATTACTCGACATCATGACCTTGTAACTTTCCTTCTTGATTCCTCAGTAGTGGGGCTTCCATACTTCATAGATTGTATAATACTGCGGACCTACGTGAAGACACCAGTAAATTCGCAGTCATTGGTGTTTATTCTTAATAAACAACCATCACAACGACATTTGTTAGTGCTAAGTGTTACTTCCATGAGCAAACGTAGATACAGACAACCATATAATCCTCGTGGAACCACAATCTGGTGAAATACGCAAGTCCTATATCGTTGCCCATGCAATGAATAAAAGCCACCCAAATGCAAGAGATTAGACTCCTGATATCTCAATACTGATTCCCTTGTGACGAAAAAATCAGTCGAATGTATTGTCCAGTGTGAGGTCAGCATTTTTTGCATGTAGGTTAATGGCGAAATGTAAGTCAAAGTGGCTACAGAAAAACGATCAGTCGATTGTCGCTGTAAGAGACATGTGAGTCAAAGTGGTTACAGGAGTGATTCGTCAACTACAACGATATCTATGGCTTCTTCGACAGCCTGTAGTGTTACACACGCCCAACGACTATCTAGCTTTTTTAAATGCATTGCGATGTCCTCCGTACTAACTCTTGTACTCTTGCCTCCAATACCTCTTGCAGACATTATTTCCCGCACAGGTTGTTCAAGAAGGGCCGCTGTAACTGGAACGTAGGCCTCGTCCTCTTCGTAAGGTGGCACGTCTGATAGGTAAGCGTCCTCTTGAGGAATGATGGACTTGGATGAAACACTGTCGGGAGACGAAAATACCACGCTTGAGAACGGAGTATCACGTTGAGCTGAGTTAGCGCTAGTTAGGGTAGCATTAAACAATGGTTTGGATGCAGACCCACAAGGGGGCAAAGGTCTAACATAGAGTACGATACTGCCTTCTTCGTACAATTTGAGGATTGCCCACATAAAGAGGTGCTTCATCTTGATACACTGTGGGGTATGGCGAGAACGAAATTCGAAGGACTTTCGGTGGGTCTGGTCAGTTTTCTCTTTCTCCGCATCTGGTCGAGCGCGTCGCCTCAATTCAGCATTCACCACTCGATTGGCAAGAAGTGCTAGTTCTGGGATCCGGCGTAGATGTGACAGAGTGAAGCCTCGAGAGGTAAACACTTGAGGTGTCTCGTCAAGCGTCTGAATCTCTTCGCTCAGGTCGCAGCACGGCACATCACCGAGCGAATGTTGTATGTAGTGCTCGAGATATGACTGAAATGTCACATCAGTCAAGTCTGCCATATGCAGTCGAGAAGGATGGAGAAATTTGGGCAGGTCCTACAAAAATGAGATGGCTGGAGTAGTAGTATATGGTAAAGTACTCGCATGGTATCCATCTACAACTAAACTGGATGGGACGGAAGTGGTGCTGTGTGTCAGAGGCGAAGATGGCACATGGACAGGCAATGGATGCTTCAGGGAATCATGCGTCATGAGCTTATCCGAATCCATCTTGGTTGGTATTTGGAAGGGCCTTGGTATTGCATATTTTGACTTGTGAAGCTCGACGACGGTTTTAACGTGTATCCATTGATCATTGGTCGAGTCACAGGGCTCTGAATTGCATGTGTTTAACGTTAGGCGCTACTAGGTGACAATTGTAATACTTACTGATGGATGCGGCTTTGATCTGTCGTGTATCGCGGAATGGTGCAACTTTTCCAATCACCTGTACCAGGTAGCCTATGGCAGTAATAGGCGTGAATGAGGGAGGTCTGCTGAGTGACGTTGCCGTCCCCTTGTTTGTCCCACCTAGGTTGCCATTTGATAGGGGGTGACATAGAATACATTCAATAACGGCCATGGAATCGTCGACTGTGCATACAGCCTCAGTGGTAGCTTGAAAAGAAAACTTTTACTGACCAGTGTATACGGTCCACTTATCGCTTTCTTGAATTCCGACCACAACGCCAATTATCAGGACCGTTCTACAGGGTATGTATTTCAACCAATAGAAGCCGGTATTAGGTCCTGCGGTTGATCAGCAACTGGCGTCTCAGTGAGTGTTTGACGAAACTGACCTTCGCTATCATTCTCCTTCATTGAGAAGACGTCCCTTACAAGACACGGAGCTGTTGCCTGAGCTGTATTGGTCCACATATAGATCTCACGTTCGGTCAGAGAGGGACCAAGGGACATTGGCTGGTTGAAATCTGAGTCGGGTTTCGCAATAGTGATGGGAAACAACTCGGTGCTCGGACGCTGTGTTTTGGACTGATCTGCAGAATTTTTAGCATGAAAGAACGAGTCTTGACGTATGTATTACTTTTTGCAATTTTATTGGGGTTCACAGTATGGGAATTGCTTGCGGCTTGCTGAAACCGGCTAGCATGCAATTCTTCTGTAATCTGAGCAAAAGTTTGAATGTTCCAGAAATACAACGCATGAATCATACCTTTAAATTCTGTTTTCTCTGTAATATTATATATGAAGGTTGTCCTGCAAGTTGATTGGAATTGTAAAACGTCGACGTTCAATGTTGAGGAAGGAATATGCAGAGGAGTAAGACTCCGGGGTCCAATTATGAAATGTGGTCGATTCGGGGATTTAACCGTCTACAAGATGTCCAGTCTGAATTACAGACTAGAGATCGCTGTAGAGTTAAGCGTGCACGCTGGTTGGTGAAATGGTGCGGCAGATGAAATGAATGTGTCTTCAACCGGGCGGCATGCCCTAACGTTATATATAATTGGAACTTCTGCTTCCAAATTCGGAAATCTTTGGCGACTCATGAGACCTCTTCTTGGTTCTGTCAGTGTTAGTGGGACTTCTAAAATCTCACTTGCGACTCATAAGGCAGATAGTGTATGTCCTAACAGCCGTAGTAGGTCATCAAAGTCCTCCATGTTCCAAAACTTTTTTGTGATTAATAAGCCAAAGATAATGTAGGTCCTCGAGATCGCAGTATGTCGCCAAAGTCCTTCATGTCCTTGAAGTTGTTACGGATAGTCGTCAAAGCTATATTACTGTAGTAAGGCTCTCAATGTCATCAAAGTCCCAGAAGAACGACTACGTCCTCAAAATTGTGATAAGTGACTGGACTGTGAGTTTACCGAGTATTACCAGACACGAATTTTTGGTGTTGAACGATTTACTGGGCCAGTGACCCCACATGTAGTATATTAAAATATACAATAACATCTGCTTCGAATTACAGAGCAAAGGGTTGTACTCGGTGAACGTTAAAGTGTTTTGGATAGAAGTGCAGTGAAAGGAGGCCGTGAGAGAATTTTAGTGTCCTTGAATTCAACCGTGGTAACTTTGGAGACTTTGAAGACTTTGGCGACATCTGAGACTTTGAGGACTTGGGCGACTTGCAAGACTTTAGATAATCATCAGACGTGTGAAAGTAGGCGGATCGCTTTACCACTCGTGGAAGTCGGAATACCGGAGCGGAAGTGGTAAACATTTCAAGTTCATTTTACCATCAGACGTTGACATCGGACTCTTGTTATTCGCGAGTCTTTTGTCTGTAAGTCAAATTAGACAATCTCCAAACTCTGTTAGATGCCAGCTCCTGACACTGAATTGTCTCATTATCAGACTCGACTGTTTTCACAGCTACATCCGATCGAGCTTTCATGGATAATACCGTGGAAGAAGCAGGTACACTGCACTTCTTTTTAATCCTCGTAACGAAAGTTTGTTGAGATACATACAATTCAGTTGTTGGTGTATCAAAAAATGTCTATATGCAAGACACATCCAATGAATTTATCAAGCTTTCCAAGTCCCAGATTCGTCACAGAAAACAGCAAGAGAAGTTGGAAAAGCAACGCGAATCGCGTCTGGCCGAACAAAGGCTTATCTGTACGTCCCAAGATTATTATTTTTTTGAAAAAAAAGTCCCACATCCTCGATAGTACTTGCTAGGTACCAGAAGGGAACCATGAAACGGAACAAGAAGAGAGCATATGACAATGCATGGAGGATTGTGGCGCAAGAGGAAACCGGTACGTCACATAAGCATATTTCACCCCGTCTACTGCTAATATACTGGGTCTCAAGGGCTCTCTAGATCTGCTATTCATAAGGAAATACGGAGAGAGAAGAGGGCAAAGAAGAAAGCATTGGTTGCGGCAGAACAAGACACTAGTACGTGCTATAAATATCTTATATGTGCTAGTTGTGAGCAATGTCTGTAGAGAGAAAAGCCTCGCAGATTTTATCGGACACGCAAGCGCTATTGATAGAGAACGAGGAAGAGCTAGTTGCGGTGCAAAATGCAGCACACAGAGATGTGTTACTCGCAGCCAAGAAGATTGCGTTTTTGGAAGAGAGAATGGATGATCTGCTTGTAGTACTAAAAGACATGCGTGGGGTATCGTGAAGACGGTCTTGGAACAAAGATACAAAGATAGTTAAAGATGTTCAAATTAATGTGTTGGATCTAAACTCCTTCAGCAGAATAAACCACCTTTGAAATTTGCGTGAGTTATTTAGACATCTGTCCCTCAAGCAACTTATAACTTGTTGCCCCATGCATTGTAAGTTTGAATAAGAGGATGGAATGACCTTGAACTTGAGGTTGACTAATGATAGTACTCGAAATTTGACCGTGTCCTGAGGGTGTAGTAAATTAAAAAAGTACGGGAGGTCGAGTTTCGGTTTTGCTTTCCGTAGTGTTGGTACATTCGCGAGGTCTGGCCACGTATGATTGCAATCAGCATCCATTGTTGAGAATGTAGGAAATGGCTGAGGTTAGCTAGGCTTGGTCAACTAACTAACACCAAACTAAGTAGTTGGTTATATTGGTATGGAAGATTAACACGAGGGAAGGGAGAAATTGAGACTAAACTGGTGAATGGGGTGAGTATCAGCAGCGGAAACTAGTAAATATTGGAGTGGGGTGTGGTATGCGATATTCGTATAGACGAGTCGGGAGAGGTATATATCGGTAAACTGACTAGAATATGGACTATTGTGCAATTAGACGTCAGTTCTCATTTGCTGTATCATATGTAGGACTCACAGTTCATTTGGTTGCCTTCATCGACGACGCTTTACACCGCCTGTTCAATAAACATGTCCTCCTGTCGAGAATGAAAACAGTATTGAATCGAAGGGAGTAGAATAGAGTAAGATGGGCTGACCGTGGCGACGTCAACGTCGACATCCATACACGAGTGGGACTCGTGCTCCGGCTCAAGTGTTTCCTGTGACGAATGATGTTGAACTGAATCAGAAGAGTAAAACTAACTAACCATCATAACGTCTGCGTCGACGACCATATACGAGTGCGACTCGTGCTCCGGTTCAAGTGTTTCCTGTGACGAATGATGCCAAACTGAAGCGCAAGAGTAGAACTAACTAACCATCATAATCTCCGCGTCTACGACCATACACGAGTGGGACTCGTGCTCCGGCTCAAGTGTTTCCTGTGACGAATGATGTTGAACTGAATCAGAAGAGTAAAACTAACTAACCATCATAATGTCTGCGTCTACGACCATACACGAGTGGGACTCATGCTCCGGCTCAAGTGTTTCCTGTGACGAATGATGTTGAACTGAATCAGAAGAGTAAAACTAACTAACCATCATAATGTCTGCGTCGACGTTCATATACGAGTGTGATGTGCCCAGGTTAAGCATGTCCTGTAGCGAAAGTAGATGGCAAAAAGTAGGGTGGGTGGTCATAGCGAGGACGGGAGATGATGGTAGTTGTAGATGTAGAGAACTTATAACTTCGATGTCCACGTCTAGAGCTAAATGGATATGGTATGTGTACAGATAACGAAGTTGAATGGGATCCGAATCCAAAGCAAAGCTAAATGGTGGCTGATGACAACATGCACACGAGAAACGGGTGGGGTGCGATATGCTCGACGAGAACGTTGCATTCGTAAGTCAACAGCGAATGCAAGTGTATGGACGTATAATCATACCGTGTTGACAATTAAATGTTGAGTTTTATTTTGAGGTCATTGTGAAATTGTGACACGTCCGTGTATAAATTACTTTAGAGCGTCAATGTGTACTGCAAAAATTTGACCAGTATGGTGTTCCAACAAAATTCCCGGTGACAACGGTCCTGACTTCATAAAGTTGTATGTAGCTGGAAAGGATGTGTTGTGTGACTCGACCTCTATCCTGTTGAGGCAAGGTAGTGCGGTGGTGAGAAAAGTGGAAATGGCGTTGGGGTTGTATGGCGGGGATACACCCACGTTCAATGTTGTAATCGATGTGTTAACTGGGAGTAACCCGAAGTCTAGCGCACCTATGCTACAGTTAAATACCAGCCCCAATTCTTTCAGTCTCGGGCAATTGCGCAACACCGTAGACAGTCCAGCGAGAGATGTCCTTGGGGGATCTGGCCAGTAACAGTGCGTGCCAATGAATAGCGATTCCAGGTTTGGGAGGCCATGCGAGAGTGAATCTAAGGCTGTATCGTCTAGATCACACATGGAAAACCACCTCAGGTCGATATGTGTGATAGGGACCGTATATAGAGGTTCCAAAAAGTGGGACAGAAGTGGGATGCTGTTGTGTAGCAGGTGGGTGTCCACAACAACCGAGAAACGGTTGAGGTCGATAACGGAGAATTTAGATTGGTCAGACACGTTGAATTCTTGTGCAAGAGAAGATATAAAATCTGTCAACTGGGCTCCCCCGAGGTGAACTGGGGTTACGACAGTAAGCTGCCGACAAGGGATGGGAAGCGCGTGCAACAGGCACATTGCAGCGTCGAAGCTAGTATTGCCCAAACCTCCAAAGAGAAATGACCTCTCCATTATTATTTTGAGTGAGGATATGGAACGAATGCAGGTGATGGTGTACGGTAGTGTGTCGAGTGAGTCGTTGATCACAACACTCAAGGACTCCAAGAATGGTAAAGAGGCGATAGCTTCCATTGCATTTGGGTGAAGAAGTGAAACCGTAAGATCGCGAATGGACTGAAGCAGATGGACAGACTTTTCAAATTCTTTCGTGTTGTTTGCCGTATCGACGTAAACAAGTTTTTGGAGGGGAGGTGGTGCTGCAAGGAGAGCAGAGACAGCAGACTGCAAACCCGTGCCGTAGTATGGGAGCTCGACACTTGTTAAACCGTTGTGGAGCAATATTTTCATATGTGCTAGAAGTCCAGCGTGTGTGCCTCTCAGCTGCAGGTGATTTAGGCATGGAAGGAGGGGATTTGTCGAGGTGCAAGAGTGTACACGCACGATAGCATCGAAGGCTTGGATGGCGCCATAGGTTGGGCTAAGCCCGTGGGCATGAATTTGGCATATATGAGGGGCGTAAAAGTAGAGACGATTGAGGTCTCGTTGGGTGAGAATACCGGAGGATTTCTGTGATGGCTTCAATGATGTGAAAGTCGGAGACAAAAGACTTGACCTACGTAGGACCACTTATTGTCAATGAAGTCTTTTTGTAAGACGTCGTCGGGTACAAGATGTAGCAGGGGGTCCAGAGATGATAGTTCGTTCCACAACGCTGGGATGCAGCCATTAAAAAAGGCTCTACTGACCAGTGGCGAGCGCGACAAAGGAACTGAGACATCGCTCACGTCGCGCTTGTTGGTATGCATGTCCGAAAATTTCGAGCAGCACAGTCGTTGTGTAAGCGGAGCATTTGCGACCGGGAATGGAGCCGCAAGGAATAAAGTGTACTGCATATATACTATGCCAACCCATCGAGGCTAAAGATCTCAGATGTGGCGAGCTTCGATCGAAGAGCCTTGAAGCTTGATGTCTAGTTCTTTCCTATTCAATGATTACCAGGTTTGGATAGATGACACATGTGATCGGTCGCAGATGATGTTGCATTGACATGATATTCGCGACGCTAGAACAGCTGGGTCGATTAGCCGGGTCCATCGTCGATTTTGGTCAAATATAAAAACCCCATATGATGGGATCAATTGTGAAGGGTTCGGGATCATTGCAATAAGAAAAAGTGAACACATGTGCTTCTTCCATTGGAGTGTCAATGTATCTAAGTCGAGTAGAGAATAAAAATAAAGTATTGACGTTCGACAATGACAAGTGTGAATACTAGCAGCGGGAAAGGGTCTATGATGAATTTCTGGTTGCTGGGAGATGACTAGTCTGAATTACAGACTAATGATCTAGTGAGACGTCAACGTCGAAACTGAACGGGTTGTGAGAAGATGTTGAAACGAACCAATATTCCATAAATGGTAACTCAATTATTAGTTGTCTGACTTCTGTGACTCCTGTGACTCCTAAGTATAATAAGGGTATATAGATTCAGAAGTTCTGTAATCAAGATACACTTGTTCACCTGTTTCGAACAAAGGTCTCTGAATTCATGTTATTCGTACTATCAAAAGTTATGAAATTAACCTCAAACACAATGTGACAAATAATGTCTTACCAATTTTTGCTTGTTTTTAACTCAGGAAATGCATCCAGCAAATGTAATTTGAGTGCGAACTTCGATGACTGACTACTTGGGATATTTCGAGAAATTTGACGACTTATTATGGCTGTAACATAATTGTGACTTTGATGACTTTGGCGACATTGAGGACAATATGAGGACATGCTACAGAGACAATATGACGACTATTGTGACTTTGATGACTTTGGCGACATTGAGGACATTGAGGACTATTACAATTGCACATCGAGCCTACAGAGATACTGGCTAAGCTAATTTCAAAGTTGCTACACTACTGTGGATGTCTGTATGTCAGTGCAAAGGGTCTCTGTGTGGAAAAATCAGCTCTACAGTGCCAAGGAAACTAAAGCTCGGACAGTGAGATAGACAAGTGACATACCATAAATTATGGGATACCATATGACGGTTCTCTTTTTTTCCTTTATACGAGAAGCGAAAAACTGTACCATAAGCCAACCCTAACTAACCCTAAGAAGATAATCTAATCCCTAACCATCAATGAACCTAAACCTCTAACTAACTAACAGAGAACAACAACAGAGAATGGAGAAGACGAGATAATGAAATCCCCAAACATCTAATGAACCTAGACCTCTAACTAACCAACAGAACTAACTAACAGAGAACAGGGAAGACGATAATAACAATAATAGTAAAGTACATTCCGTTGCTAGATATATATACATTGTTTTGTGTGGGTATAAATGAAGGCGAATACGAAAAACAAATGACGGAAATACAAGCTAATCTAGGGCCGCAAACGATTTTGGATCCAATTTGTCGATGTCGAAGCACAACAATTCCGCTTGAGCCTCGGTTACAACCCTGCTGGTATCTTTGGAAGAAGAAGTTGTGCGTTGACAGAGTCTCGCTGTCCATTGACTGCAGGTAGCGAACGCACGCGAATCCCTGTCTTGTATGGCAGCAATGTGCCTCATGAACCATGCCTCTAAACTTGCGGTCCATTCTCCTTCCCACTCCATGTATTTGTCGAAAAGGTCTAAGGGAGGCCACAATAGAGAGTTGTCCTGAGTAAGGCCTAATAGGGTATCAATATGAGCATCCGTTACTGTATCGTCGACATCGGTACCAATGCGCTCGACATTCGAGTGTATGAACACGTCGCTCGAAGGGCCAGACAACGCAGATAAAAAATGGAACATCTGGCTCTCCAGAGACGCAGTCTGATTTCAGTCTTCTTAGATACGACTAACCTACCACGAGAGATCACATGCAAGAGGTGGAATGGGGGGTAACAAGCGATGTGCAGGAGGCGGTTTTGAGAATCGCTTTGCAACGACGAGGAAAGTGGATTGTTATCGTCGTATTCTTTGAGGGAGATCGTTTGGCCTAGGATAAAGCGGGTTATTGCGTTCTGGACAGGACGGGGTCAGTATATTAAGATGTACAATAACATCTGCTTCGAAATACAGAGCAAAGGGTTGTACTTGGTGAACGTTAAAGTGTTTTGGATAGAAGTGCAGTGAAAGGAGGCCGTGAGAGAATTTTAGTGTCCTTGAATTCAACCGTGGTAACTTTGGAGACTTTGAAGACTTTGGCGACATCTGAGACTTTGAGGACATTGGCGACATGTGAGACTTAAGATAATTGATGTGCTCAAAGTCGTATCAATTCAAAGTCCCACTATTCTGATAGTCTTCATGGTGCCCTTGAATTGAAACGTGGTAAATTTGAGGACTTTGAGACTTTGATGACATGTGAGACTTTGAGGACTTACAGTGTCCTTGAATTCAACCGTGGTGACTTTTGTGACTTTGGCAACATTTGAGACTTTGAGTACTTGCAAGACTTTAGATACAACTACGTCCTCAAAGTGATGATAAAGTCAACAGCGAATGCAACTGTACGGACGTAGAATCATACCTTGTTGACAATTAAATGTTGAGTTTTATTTTGAGTTCATTGTGAAATTGTGACACATTCGTGTTGTCGAATTGTCGCTATCTCGCCAGGCCCTGAAGCAGCTCTTGGTGATGTACATGCGTTGTAGACTAGTTGTTCATTTGCGAGTTGGGAATATAGCTAATGTATAACGTGAATCGATAATGGTGGTTGTGATACAGTGCTATGATTCGTAGATTTGAATCAGGTAAGACAAGTAGAAAGAAAACTGGTCATACAACGTCGGGGCTGCAGTACACACAGTAGTAGGTGGAATATGGGAGGAGTATATTGTCATGTATTTATGGAAGAAAAAGGTTCGAGACAAGTGAAAAGATCCTCCATAGAAAGTGTGTCGCCCGGGTTGCTCTGGTCGCCGGTGCGGTAAGATCGCTGGGCGCTGGGCGCATCCTTGTAGAAGAAATGAATGATAGCCGTAGCGATGTCAACTGATCTCTCGCTGCTCTCCGATGTAAGAACCTTGTATCCTGGGTCGTGGTTCGAGGCTATGTACTTTTCCCGGTTCAGTATCATGAGGCATAATGCGATAATAGGTCTGTGGTATAACCCTTTTAATTGTTTTAGACATGTCGAACCCAACGAGTGAGAAGACTTACGAACACTTCATGGGAGTCGTGGTAACGCTACGGTCATCCTTTGGAATGTTTCGAGGGCGTTTTCGTGAAATTGATTTGTAAGAAACTCTGCCTTGTGGGCATCTATGCAACGAGAGATCTTGGTCAGATGTAAGTACTCGTAACCGTAAAAATTGCCGCCCGTGGTGAACGAGGACACTGGCGTGTATACGGCATGGACTTGACCGGCAGGTTGGAAACTTGGATTTGTGAGCGAAGGCCTGGAATAGATGTGACAAATAAAACTTACACCAGGTCACCCGGTAACAATGTGATCACCTCACCATGCCAAGTTGACTCGATTTCCCTGTGGTGTTTTTGCCAGTCAGCGAACAGCATCTGGGCCTTTAGAAGCGCCGTTCGACTGAGCTTCTCTTTGGTGGTGAAGACGATCCAGAACTTTATGCCAGTTTGAACCTGGACGAAGGTGACTGCGCCGTCCGCATCATGATGAGGATAGGTGATGAATCCAGCTTGATGAAGTAAGGCCCAGGATTTGACGGTGAAATTGTCTGGATGGACTTTGCCGCTGCAAACAGGACAATCGACTGTTGTCTGGTTCCAGCCATATACGAGCCCGTGGTCCAGCAGCCTAGACAAATTATGGTCAACGACGGCTATGAAAGAGTGTGAGACTCACTGAAATTCTTGTGGGAGACCCATTTGAGACAAAGGCATATCTGAGATGCACTGGATCTTAGATGGGTCATTGATACCGTTGATGAATTGTTGTATAGTAGCTTCCATGTGTGGGCGAGAGAAGTCGTTTACTCTGTTTGCAACATCTGGCAGAGAGCTTTAGTTATGGGAGGACAACGAGAGGAGACTTACTGTGTACAATGACGCGCATGCGGCACGATATCCCAAAATTTGTCTCTAGATAATCCGTGTCCAGTGTAGGGGGGTCATGGCTACTGAAGCCGCGGATAACGACGGGTTTGTTTCGACAAAGAGCTTCACTGACGGCATCTTGTACCTGACCTCTCGTCAAGTTACCTCTTTCGATGTGATTGACATTGGCGGAGTCAAATTTTGATTTGGGAAATAGAGAGAGGAAGTGCACCACGGCGATGTCGTTGTCCTCGCAAACATTGATACCTTTGACCATGACACATGGGAGGACAGTCCTGCATCCGTCAGACCATGTGACTGTTTGCGATTGGAGTGGGACTTGAATACTGAGTATATCGGATGCCAGATCTAATTTGAGAGTGGGCTTGTAATTTGTAGGGGATGAGATTGAATCTGCCATCACAGCAGTGTCTAACATGTAGCGTGTTGGCGTGACCCTGTCATCCATAGAATGTGATGGAGAAACATCTGAAGAAGCGGGCGACGGCATTTGTCTGTGAAAGCGGGGGGGAGGCGCACCGATTTCAAGAGACTGTTGGCGCAGTTTTGTGCGCAAATGTTGTTCTCGCTTGTTTTCGCGACCCCTTGCTCTGATCCTTTCTGCCTTCTCGGGATCCTGCATTTGTCGCGCGCACCATCTCTTCTGTTGTTCAATGTGTTTCTGCTCTGGGAGCAGGCCATCTAGATCGGGATATCTGAATCGAGGGGGCATATGTGAGTAGCGATGGTGGTGGTAGAGCATCAGAGTATTAGGTTAGTTTGGCTTTGTTTGTCGATTAGTTTGGCTGATTTGTCAGCATTTGTACATCATTACCGGCTGCCGAAAAACTATGGCACAGGCGCGTAAATGAGCCCTAGGATTGCGATATTTTTAGACTATGAGTTGATTTAGGGCTGTGTAGTAATATGCATACAAGGAAAGACTTACTTCTTCGAAAGGGTCAATCGAAGGAGAACGTCGAGGATCTACCGCAAAACGGTGAAATTAGTGCGCATGGCACGTTCCATTTCAACTTTCGACGCTGTAGACCCTGAACGCTGGAGAACTAATTTTAAGGTTAGGCATGCGAATTTGGGTAAGAAGGTGCATTTCATGTGAACGGATGTAGACGTATACTTGTGTGACACATTTCGTGTACAGATGAAAGACTCAGTTGAATGTACAAACTAGCGCGGTCGAAGTCACTAATTCCATGAAGACATACCATTGCACAATAAGTGCTTGAAGGTCTGAGGTCGTCAGATAGTATGTAGCTACCTATAAGTCATCTCTGCTCGGTGATCCGAGGTAACATCTTTTAATACTTGATAATAGCGGTGGACCAGGAGTCCTGAGGATAACAAAACCTAGACAGAACCGAACTTGTCTTTCATCCACTTGGCAGCGATGTCATTCATTTTGACCTTTGGATTAGGTACATTAGCGATACAAGTAAACTCGTCGGATGCACTTACCGTTGGTACATTTAGGCCTACAATTTGAAGCCCCTTTAGAGACTGCGCCCGGGACAGCCCCACGTATATTTGTCCTGGCAGACAAATTAATACTAAAGAGGGAGATTGTCTGGGCTGACGCTTACCATCAGCAAACGACTGCCTGCAGTCGACGACAACTTTTTCGAAGCCGGATCCTTGACTCTTGTGAATAGTCATAGCCCAACCCAGTGAGAGTGGGATCTGAACTTGCATATGAATCAGTAAGCGGTTGCAGAAATGAATATCAAACCTGGAAACGCGTGGCCGTGTATTCTTTCCTGTCTTGGATAGCCTGAAAAACAAACTCCTCGTCGAGAATGAGGACATGTTCATGTGTTGGGCCGATTTCAAATTTGACTAATGGGAACAGTGTCAGTTCGCGGCCTCCAACTGTGGAAATTGGGCCTGGCGGTGCATGGATTGGGACGCCATTGTCATCGACTTTAACATTGCGGATCGAGCGTACAGTCTGGGGCCTTTCAGCTCTCTCGTCTGGTGGGAGAACATTGTGTGAGGTGTAGAAACCCAACACGACGCCCATACTGCCGTTGAAGAGACCCTTTCCTATATTCTTGCGTAGGACAACGCGGGCTCTGACTTTAAGTTTGACGATTGAACCGACTGGTGCTGATAATAAAAGTCGTTTTTGGGCCGTAGATCTGGCTAGGTCGAGCGCAGGGTATGTTGTTGCCTGACCGCTGATTTTCGTCAACCTGTCTTCGTTAGCTTGGTTGGCTAGCTTGACAGTACAATATAACCGAGTCGTCTCCAGATGGGGCAAATAGCTTGGTTGTATTAGCCTTTGTTGTCGGACCAGCAGCATTTGTGATCAAGGCGTGATATTGTTGGTTCTGATATCTTTCAGGATATCAAGTAAACCTGATATGATGGTAAGTGGGTCAGTGGTGATGGGGATTAGGATGAGCTTACCTTCTTCGTTCTGCCGATATACGGTGGTTAACCTGATGTGGTTATCCTTGAAAATTGCATCCCACAGCGGTGATTGAAACGCAAATTCGACACGTTTGCCTGCCATTGACACTGGTGGTAATTGGAGGAAATCTCCGGAAGTTATGAGCTGTGAATGTCATCAGTCAGAGTTAGGGGAGGGAAAAGGTTCTTACGGAGATTCCGCCAAAGGCGAGTTCGCACTTGCGCATGTTTCGTGCAATAAAATCTAACAGTGTTAAAAATACGACAGTTATCATGGAGACTGCGATTTTTATCATTATCATGACTTGGTGGGTATCGAAGGAGGCTTACCTTCATCCAGAATCAAAACTTTGCACTCCAGCCAACGCGTCGAAGCGGCAGTGTTGTCTTTGACCTTCTTAAGAGCCTGTTCCATACATGTCTCTGAGCCAATTAGACCGGCCCAAGAGTGGATTGTTTGACCTGCCGATGTAAGAAGGGGGTATGTATGGTAGGGAGGACTCACCCTGAAGCCGATTTGCTGCAGCTCCCGTGCTTGCTGTGACGCCCAGCTGGCATGGTTTAACTCGTGTTTGAAGAACCTCAATGATCTTTGAGAGGGTAAATGTCTTGCCCGTTCCTGGAAATCATTAGGCGAAGTTGGTAGACAGTGGTTGGGCTTACCTGGATTGCCAGTGAGGAAAAAGCTGTCCAGGTCCTGAGCCAAGCTCAGGGCTTTTAGTTGCTCGGGGTCTAGCATTGGCGTGTCCACATCTCCTTGTTTGGCTGAGGAGAACATAATGTTTAACAAGTGTGTAGTAAGAAGATTATGGGGGGCGTTGGGAGGCATGTTAGATGTAGGGGATGGGAGCCATGAATGATTAATGGGATATCAAGAAGAGAGAAAGACGATGACGAAGTCAAATCATAAATATAGGGGGGCATATTAGGTAGACAGGCTTACTAATCGATGACAGGAAGTGGTTTCATGAGTATTTGGAATGCTGGTAGGACGAGCGAGATGAGTTATAGCCTGGGCCAAAAAAACGCTATGGACGTGAGTAGGTAGTCCATGTATTTTCAAGAAGTAGTAGTCAAGGTGTTTTTCGGGTTGGAGGCAGACATCTTCCTTGAATTACGAGGAAAAGGTCTTAACGTGGTGGTGGGCGAGTGTTGATTCCTCGAATGTTGGGGTTGGCATTACATCCGCTTCGAACATTGGTTCAATTTCGGAGTTGAAACCTTTCGACCATATATAGTAAATACTCCCATCACTTGATTAGCATCTCATTCGTTATAAACCATTATAGTGCTAAATATTTGTGATTGGATGGCGGTATTAAGATCATGTAAATACAGAGCCTAACACTAATTGGCTGGTACTGTGTATATAGCTGTACTTTGAAGCCTATTACGATGTTGAGGACACTTTGCGGACATGGTTGGACTTTGAAGACTTTGAGGGCCTGGAAGTTGTAGCGAGTCCTGAAAGATGTCCTAAAGATGTAGTGGTCCTGGAAGTTGTAGCGAGTCCTGAAAGTTGTGGTGCAGGAAGACGCAGTAGGTCCTGAAAGATGTAGTGGTCCTGGAAGTTGTAGCGAGTCCCGAAAGTTTTAATAGTCCTGAAAGATGTAATAGTCTTGAAAGATGTAGTAAGTCCTGAAAGTAGTTGTAGAGTTAGAAGTCGAAGGTAGACTGGTGTTCCTATGCGATCAAATGGGGAAGCTTTACTGGGGAGTTTAAGGACAATATTTTTCTACATACTCAAAGTCATTGCGTACTCTGGAAGTTGTGCGCCCCGAAAGTAATAGTAGTGTAATTATATTGGGCAATCCTAGACCTTAGCTGTGATATGTCTTAGGCATACCTAAATTTAAACCTATTGATGGTTAGGTACATCAAATGTGCAAACATCTAATTTTTACTAGTCGTCTTCATAGCATGATTGATTGCAGATGCAAGAAAGATACATTGATATGCTATTTGTAAATGTGTGAGTGATATGGAAAAAAATTGTTGTACAAGAAATAATGAGGAGTCAATATATGCAGACCTATGAGTGAGGATTGATATGTAAATACATCTGAGTCCAGTTCGAGACACGAGTGATACTGGTTGTCAAGCGGTGAATCACCTGAGCAACTGGCGACACTTGTTTTCGACACAATTGTTGATCTTCTTGCTCTGGTTCTTATAATATTTGAGATCTGACCGCCACTTCTTGGTGGTTAGCAAGGTCGCCTCGCCCTCGCAAATTTTCCTAAGCCTCACTTGGAACAACTGTTCGCATGAAAGTGTCCAATATCCCATGTTCAGTCCAGACGCATCCCATAACCCGGGAACAGGCCACCAAGCCAACGTCGTAGTTTGTGCGCGTCTATCTGTGGATGTTATGTTAGCGCTGATAGGTCAGAGGAGCGGGGTAAAAACATACCTGTATCAACATAATATACCCCACACAGTATTTCGATCTCGTGTTCGCTGAGAGTATCGAAGAGAAGGGTACAGGACACGTCCTCAGATGTATCGGCAAAATACAGGACGTCGGATGAAGGTCCGTTTGGAACGTCGTTGGCTAGTTCTTGTTTGCATAGACGCTAGAGGATTCCGCCAGCTTGGGCCACAGCGACTCTCACATGCGGTAGTCTTAATAGACGATTTTGGCGAAGTTCGTAATTTTTATATTTGAACTTGTCGGCTTTCCATCCATAAGGGCGCCGGTTAGATTCGAAGACCGTGATAGGGCGGGGCATGGGAGAGTATGCAACATTGGAGAGGAGTTTGAACGGGATACCGCGCTCGAATAAGCACAGGATCACGTCCTCTAAGGAAGGACCCCAGTGCTCTCTGATGCACTGGATCACTGATGTCGCGTTGTCGAGGAATAGCTTCCATGGTCGAACGAATTTGAGGCCGACAGGGAGCAAGAAGTAACCAGACAGAGTGCGATCCGTCACCTGCTTGACCTTGAAATACTTGTTAAGCTCGAGAAGCTGCGCAGCTTCTTGGGGATGCAAATCCCAAATGATGGAAGGCGGTTGGAGTTCGAGTACAAGGGATGAGATGAAGTATTGGATGGCAAATTTGTTGCTTTTTTTGCCCAGGGCGAGGTTGACTTCCATAATATACTTGTGAATGGTGTACGTATTGATGATTCGAGATTCTTCGATGGGAGTAAAGTCCTCTGCAGACTGTATATCGCACTGCGTGGAACAGAGTAGTCCATAATGACTGTATAAGACATCTTCCAGTCATGTCCCAAAGACAACATCCTGCGCAATAGGTTCTTTGAGCACAATGGTTCTTCCCAGAACGTTATGGTTGGATGAGAGGAAGGGCAGGATGTTTATTTTCAGGGCCGGGGTGGGATCAGCCTCGTGGAGCAGTTCATTGTCAAAAGCAGCGTCTTCCTGTGTAGGATCTTGCTCCTTGTCAAACAAGGAACATATATCCCATTGATTTGAGATGTCGTCGTATACGAACTGTTGTTTTCGTCTAGTTTTGATTTCCTTCATCGCGTCTCCATACTTGAGCTCTCCTCTAAATCTCCCTTCTTTCAACCGATACCACATGAAAAACCTCGTCCTGTCCCTTTGCTTAGGCACGATGAAGTTTACAGCATCTTGCAGTCTTTTCTTCACTAGTGCCTTTATGGATTCCGATGCACATGATAAGAATTCTTCGCGTTTGATTTTTCGGTAATCTATGAGTGCATTCCATCAATGAAGACTATCGGGATCGATAGTAGACAGGCCTGGCTTGATGTCAGCTGCAATCGTCTTGTTGATCAATGCACGGAGCTGCAGCTTCTCGTCACCATGAGGGCAGATGATATCAAAGGTACAATATTTGAACGACTTGGATTCAAGTAAGGTAATCGACATTCCTGTAATGATCCATATGGGGACGCGTATGCGGTTGAGCCAAGGAAGTATGGAGCCTAACGTGGATGCAGTAGGGTCAAGTACAACACCAACACATCTCCCAAGGGCCTCTGGCTGCAATGCATCGATGATGTCGCATACATGCGACTGACTGAGGCCAGAATGAGAAAGGGTCTCAGATGGGGAGAGCGGGCATCGAGGATCGCCGGATCTACCAGATTCGTATCGTACGAGAGCACACCCGTAAAATAGGTTGAGCAACCCTACGAGACTATGGAACGCGAGTCTTGAATTCCGGGTGCATCGAAGAGCATGGCATTGTTTCTTGTGAATGCACAGATAGCCGTAGTAAGAAGGGAGGGGTAACATAGCAAACTCCAGCGGGAGTAGAGAATCGACGCTGAAAGTGGATGCGGCGTGATACAAGGTGTTCTCGAGCCATTTCCAGCTGGTCTTTTGTTCCTCGGAGAGAGAGTATGTCGATCCTGAGCTGACTATGTGGATAGTAGCGAGACATTGGAAGAGAGGACCCGTATATTTGAGCTCTGCATCGTCTGGAGTGGCTGCTATTTGGATATAGCGAGACAAGTCGTACCGCAGCTGGAATAAGTTTTCCAGGTGGGGATCGTCATGTGTGAAATCTTGTTCGATTTCCGAGGAGAACGGGCAAACCGTTTGTGTGGCCGAAAACAGAATCGTGTCTATGTCCTTCAGGTAGAAATATGTTTTCCCCTTGGAACATGATCTGTACATGATGTGAGCGTGTCAGTTTGGGTTGGTAAGCTCAATACTCACATTGAAGGAGGGGTAGGGCGGGGTACAGTCTTTGGAGAGGCACCGTGAACGGTGACTGGAATCGGAAGCTGAATGGTCGCCTTCTGAGATTGTTGGTTAACGCGGGACATCACAGTGTATCATGTAGATGTGGGGATAACGAGTGCGACTAGTCAGAATTTCCAACTAGAAGCCACTAATGAGATGTTGGTTGTAAATATAACGCGTGATTGCGTGTTTTAGTGAGAGAGAGGTTCAGAAACTATGCAGGCTGGACGTTTATATAGGGATTAGGATAACAATGGAGTTGGTGTCCACATTACCACGATGGTTGGCGGTAGAAATCAAAGCGCAGGTCTAGAACATGTAATTATATCACGTGCTGTGATGTGTGGAGAGACGGAAATTTACCAGAACTACTGACAACTTCGACCTCATGAAAGATCCAGGGAAATCATCATTTGAATTAGATAAAATGATATATGAGACATTTTGTCGTGCACCGAGCAGTAAGTTGTGTGGTATAGTGAAGTCAAAACCAGCTAACTAACCCTAACCTCTAACTGGCCGAGACAGAGTATAATATCTGTCCCTAACTAACTAACTAAGCTAACCGCTAACGAAGCCGAGCTAACTCTAACCAATGTAACGAGACAAACCCTAGCCTAACTGGTCTAACCGGTTAGAAAATGACCACATACCTAAGCCATCTAGCAAAGCCTAACAACAAATATCAGTAAAACAGGTAACGGGATGTTGGGAAAAGGGTAATATAAGCCAGTTGTTATAAATGCAAAGGAAAAAGATACGGAATAATAAACATCACCACATCACCTCCTCCTCCCAGCCACCGACAAGAAGGTTTAGGGTATAGCTCAAGAACACAACAACCGGCAACCACAATTATTGAAGCGGAGGCAAGGTGAATGTCTGTAGAGTACAATGATAGAACAGTTGGGTCAGAGAGTGAAAGCAAAAAAAGATACAGAGTAAACATCACCTTCTCCCCCTGCCAGGCACCGGCGGCAAAGTTTAGGGCATAGCTCGAGAACCACACCTTTGGCAACCAAAATTCTTGAAGCGGTGGTTAGCTAAGAATCTGGAGAGTATGGTGGCGAAACAGTTAGGTCAGAGAATAAGAGCAAGAAAAGATATTGAGTTACCTTGTCCTCCTTCCCCTCCCAGCCCCCAGCAACAAAGATTGGGGCATAACTCGAGAACCAAACGTCCGGCGACCAAAATTCTTAAAGCGGTGGTTAGCTAAAGATCTATGGAGTATGGGTGTAGAACTTTTGGGTCAGAAAATGAGAGTAAAGAAAGATGCGGAGTGAACATCACCACCTCCCCCTCCCGGCCACTGGCAGCAAAGTTTAGGGTATAGCTCGAGAACCACACGTCCGGCAACCAAACTTCTTAAAGCGGTGGTTAGCTAAAAATCTGTAGATTACGGTGGTGAAACAGTTAGGTCAGAGAGTAAAAGAAACAAAAGATATTACGTGACCTTGTCCTCCCTCCCCTCCCAGCCATCAGCAACGAAGATTGGGGCATACCTCAAGAACCAAACATCCGGCGACCAAAATTCTCATAGCAGGGGCATCATGGGCTGCGAATTTCGCAGCTCAGGATGTCTGAGGACCGTTGGGGATTGCGGTGAAGAGGAACGAGGGAGACGAGCGGTTGAAGTTTTGGGACTTATGCAACGTCACGTGCGTGAGTTCTGCGACCTGCAGGGACTTGAATTACGATGTATTGCTTATGAGTAAGTTTATAACATAGGTGTAAAGTCGCGAAATGCTGAGACGTTATGCTATATATTACAAGCGACAGGGAGCAAATGCTAATTTCGAATGTGGAGCTAAAATAAGGTCCGAATCTAACGACCTCCGACTAACAGTACAGGGGCTACAAATACGTAGTGCATGAGAGAATTAGTATTTGTGCTGGAGTTCCTAGAGTGGTTGCAAAGACGTAATGCGAGCGGCCGCTTCCTGTGTTGCGACTGCCCAATCTATGGTCGAGAGTTGCGAGGCTGATTGAAGAAATGCGTGAATAAGGTCATATAATCGGGGGTATCCCGAGCTGATGATGGCGCCGTTAGTGGAAGGGGTGTATAACCAGGTGCCAAACGAGTGAATGGAATCCGTGATTTCGTCAGTGTAGTGCACGCCAAGGAAATTGAAGATGATTTGCGTGATCGCGGGTATGGTGAAGACAAGGTAGGGGATGCCCAGCCAAAAGTCTTGGAGCACATCATTGTCGCAAGCCCAGACAGGGTGCTCAAACCTCTTGCACCCGCCGCACGAGGAGCACAAGGTAGGCTTGTTAATGTAACAATGTATCGTCTTGCGGTAGTGTGTGAGGTAGAAGTTGACGTTGACGAGGTCGCAGGTGCGCAGATCTGTATGGGGCTCGAGATGAGGGAGTGAAGACGATAATCCGTGCAGAGCGCAAACCCCCCCATAGTCGTTCAGATAGGATTCGAGGATGGCGATCCTGTCGTCGAAATCACTGGGCAAGGGAGTAGGGGAGAGGGGTGTGGTGGGGGATTCCAGTGACGCGCGCTGCTTCTTGGGTGGGGTTTCACCGTCTCCAAGAGGGGTGTTAGGACAGGAGGAGGGGGCCGGAGGAGTAAGTTTGTCGACAGGCGTGGTATTGGAGGGCGATCCGCCAACTAGAGTGTCCGGGTACAGAGAAAAGGGGTCTTCTATGGTGCGCGTCACTTAGCCACCACTACTTTTGAACAACGTTCTCACCCCCTCGAAAAAAAATCAGATTTTTATTTCCTCTTGTAAAAATGATCCTTTCGATGAGTAGAGTAAAGCTACAAGAGGAATTATTGATTGAATCAAATCTGAGCGAGTTTTTTAAAAACAAAAGGGATGATTTGGCCACCTAAAGTACTATGACTCCCCATCAATCAAAAATGCGAGCCAATGTCTCCGGAATACGTCTGTGAGACTTGTACTTTGTAGAGCTGAATTGCTTAATCTGAAACTGGGCATCCTTTGTGCTCAGACCCGTCCGATATGCCTCCATCCAGCGGTGCATGCGATGTTCCCACAGTCGAATGGTACTGAGCTGCACAGACTGCATTGCTAAGGGCATGTTCTTCTTCAGGGTCTCAAAAGTGCCGTCGCAGTTGTCTCGGAGATATTTTTTGACCTTCCCCCAGAAATATTCGATGAAATTGAGTTCACAGTGGAACTTTGGGAGGAAGATGCAGAGATGACCAGCGTTTTCGATGATTTCCTGAATGTATGACTTTTGTTGCTGAAAATCGGGCTGGAGCTCGAGTATACGTTTGTTGCAACAAGCTGTTGCATCAATATTACACTTTGTGCCACACTTTCCACGAGACTGCCGCTGCCAGAGACCACGTTCACTCAAGACCTGCTTGATACCTTTGGCTTCATTTGGAAATTGCGGGTGATCGGGAGGAAATACCATGTCCTGTTCGATCCTCATGCCATTGTGCATGAACCATCCAGGTCGCATATGAGCCTGTTTGCCACCTGGATTCACATTCATGCGAGAAACGAGCAAGGCATCTTCAGCATATGCAGAGTGGCCCTGCGAGTTATCGATGAGGAACAATGCTTGATATCCAGGACCATGGATACGTTCGAATGTGGGTATAATTTTGTCACTGAGCTGGATGAATATCAGCGGGAAAGCTTTGCCAAGAACTCGACACGAAAGACCCACCTGTTTCACAAACATCTCGCCATTCCAATATCCCTCGTGATTCTTTCCATACTCCAATGATTCACCTGCATCCACCATGTGTCCAACTGTTGAGCAAATCACGTCACTGCGATGGAGGCCACGTCCCACCCCTTTCTTTCGCAACTTGAACTGGTCTTCAAAGACCCAATATTGATCAACCGCATCATTTGACTGTGCTGTCATCTCGTCATGTGCACAAAGAACAAGGCGCCGCTCCACAAAATTGCACTCTGCATCATTGAACTCTGATTCAACATCTCCAACAATGTAGCGGACAAGACGTCTCTCGTATTCCTTCATCATTGGCAAAAAATGTTCCTGTCGGTACTGGACCACATCAGGCCGGTCGTGGCCATCAAAGTAAAGGCCTTTGCGGTGTGACATGTACCGAAAACCTTCCCGCTGCAACCATCGACGAGCAGTAGCAAGGGAAATTCCACGTCCAACTTTGAGGTGAATGCGGGGAAATAATTCAAGCTCCAAGTACTTTTTCAAACCACGGGGCATCTCGTCATCAACAAGAGCATGGAGATATTTCTCTGCTTCAGAAGGTATAAGTTTGTCCTTTGAAAACTGCGCAAGTTTCTCGGGATTGACTACCCATTTGTTTGAACGAACATAGGCACAAAGTTCGGCAGCGACAACGGGGTCTCCAAGCAATGAATATACTTTCGCATGGCGGCCAGCCAATGACTGAGGGAGCTCCCGCTTTGATACCCAGGCATGGGTCCAGCTGCGCAGTTGATGGCCACCCCAGATAGGTGCGAAACCATGAGTTTCAGCGGCACGTTCTGATGCATCAATTGAAGAGCGACCTCTCTTGATAATGAGGGCAAGATGGCTTTGGATGGTACGTGTTCGTTTCGCTTGCAGGCCACCCAAACCACCAATAAACTTGGTTTTCTTCGACTTCAACAGCTTCTCAATGGCTTCCAATGCCACACGCCTATCATCTCCATGCCTTTCTTTATCGATTCTCTTCTGGGCACGAGCAGGAACATCAAGCTTGCGGCGCTTAAGTGGCCGCACAACAGGCAATTTGTTGCTTATGCCATGTCCATCACCTCCAAGTCCTTTGCTGTCGTCGTCATTGTCATCATCGTCCGAGCTGGAGTCAATGACATCCTTGGGTTCGTCTGAAAGGTAGCCAGTGAAAGCGGTCGCTGCATCACATGCTAACGGAGGCTGCGCTGCTGCAGCAGCATTTGAAAGTGTTTCATCCGCACTCGGTGGTTCAATCTCGGGCACAGTGTCGTCTTTGGTTGCACACCACTGTCGCATGAATGCAACCTGTGGATTGGTTCTGATCAGGTGTGCCAGTGCATTAGATTCATTTTCCAGGCCATTAACACTCATACATACAATGTCTTCATTTTCTTTTGTTGTTCAGCTTGGTCTCGTGCTGCCTTATCCCTCCGCCGCTGAGTATGACCCGAGAGCCCATTGTATCCAAGTGATCTGTTCTGTTCTGCCTTCTTCCAAACTGCGCCTGTCTTCGGCTTGGATATCTTGTCGAACAAACTGTCCACTGATGTGCCCAGGGCTATGACCTCTTCTCGGAGCTCCCTCAAGTTTTCCTCAAGCTCGCTGCCCTCCAGCTCGCAGAGGCTATCGCACTCCGACCTTTCGCTATCAGCATTCGAGTCTGTTTCATATTCATCACCTGTATCTGACCAATAACAACTGACACCCCCAGTATAACCACACTCATACTCGGAGTCCAGCTCTATCAGGTTAACTTCCCTGCCACAGAGTTTGGACGGCTCTGATGTTTGTTCCTGCAACTCGGAATAGGTTTGTGCGGGGGTGGCTTGAAGAGTGGAGTTACTGTGCTTGGCAGTTGGAGCTGTTGGAGCTGACCATCATGCGGCCCTAGCGTGAGCGGCTGCTACCTTCCTGTGGTTCTTGGGCATCAGAGACTGGTAAAAACGACATCTGCACGATAAATTGTTGTTGTCTACTGTAGCGCTACATGTTTCAAACTAATATCGAAGCATCCGTTGGAGTTGCACGTGTAGGGTTAGGGTTGAAATTTTTCCTCAGACCGATTTGGCCACTGTTCAAAGGTAGTGGTGGCTAAGTGACGCGCACCATAGTGGCCTCTTTTGCGGGGTGATGGCGGGAGCAGGCGCGTCACTGTGGAGAGGTTTGATCTTTGTATTGTTAGTTAGTGTAGAGAGAACGCACGAGGGGGCAACTTACATCGACGTGGGTGAGTATATGCGTGTAGAGCGCAGCAGGAAGGCCTACGAAGGGGCAACGATAGCCCCTCTTGGCCATCGGCTTGGCGGTTAGTCGGATTCCTATAAAGTCGTTAGGTGAAACGTCGAGGACAGGGACGGGATTACTTACCAAGAAAATTAATCTTCAAGGATGAGTCCTCGTTGTGGATGGAATGATGTCTTTCCATTTCATTCGACTGCTTGCCGCGGAAAACGCATAATGGAAGACAGTTTGGTGAGAAAAGGGATTTGCTGGTCGAAAGCATTGTTGAGCGTACTGGTGAAAGGGCCGGTGAGTGAATATGCGTCCCTCACGAATTTCGCAAGGAAGGTCAGGGTGGGTTGTGACTACTTGAGTTTTGGGTTCTGTTTATATATGGCTTATCAGTATCACATGTCAGGAATTGCAGAATAGTGAATATAGGCATACCTGAAGTGCTGACGACTAGCTGAGAAGATAGGAACCAAGAACAGAAGACGTGACTTAAAACATATTCGGTGACCGGTCCGTCGCTTATTGGAACATTTTACCTTGGGGCGAAGCGTTAGGTCCCAACATAGCTTCAATTCCTTTCATAACAGTTTTTCCATTACCAGTGCATGGGTGGTCAAATAAAAAATAAAAACATGGAAGCGTGAATACATTTATGAGCGTTAATATATCTACGATCAAGTGTTGGCCATCTCGACATCATCAGTAATATCGGGTTGTACATCCTCCATGTGAACGTCATCCAATTGATCTGGTGGAATAGTTCGAAATTCTCTGTAAAATGCGATCACGAAAGAGTGACATTGTGGAATCTCGTCTGCGTCCTTGGGTTCGTGCTTGATCCACGCTTGTAATGATCTAATGGAGGCAAAGTGAGTGGGATCAACAGCAAGTCTCGTTGCTATCTTTTGTAGATAGGGGTTTGTGGGTCGGCCGCCATCGATAACCTTGCTCTCGCGAATGACCGCTACGACTGTAGGGAGGATGAATGGGAATTGGGCGCCATAAGGGCATGACAAGTGATTGCTCAGAGATCCTGAATGTAGAGTAGGGTGCATGCAAGGTTCTCGAAAGGGTACCCAGCACTTGTAACAGTACGCCCAGTATGTGGTGTCCTCGCGTTTGACGGGTGGTAGAAGCGATATGACCTTGCTATGGAGAGAAGGGGTGACTTCGCGATGAGAGTGTGGGCCCACTCGATGTTCACCACTGACCCAACAGTATACGCATCCGATTGTCTTTATTGTGTCCAGGATATGCTTCAGGACCCTTAGTTCTCTCAATCCCGTGGCATATTTGGTATTGATGTCAGCCGTGACGGATTTGACAGAGGAAGGCAGTTTGCGTAGATGAGGGGAGGGTGACACCTGATGGGATGTCCTGTCGATGCGCAGTGTATGCGAGGATATGTCTTGGGGTAGCCAAAGTGTTTGTCTGATGACACCTTTGGACTAAACATTGTGAGTTCGTGATGGAGTAAGGTTAGCATGAAGAAAGATTGCTTACTTTTTTCAGACACTCGCAGTTGTCGCATAACAAAGTGCCAGTTGCTGATGTGCACGAGTGAGCATGGGGATCAAAGTGATGGAAAGTTAGGCGTCGGCATCCCTGTGTCTTCATGAATTCTCTCATTGGAAGAACACCGAGGTGCTCGTCATGCTCGGGTTCCTGATAGAATGGAAGTTTGCTGTAAATAAGAATGGAAGAGGAAGGGTGGCCATCTCGGCCAAGGCGCCCAGTCTCCTGGAGGAAACGGAGCATGTTATTCACTTCAATGTGGATGATGTAGCGAACTCCCAGAAAATCAATCCCCTCGCCGAAGCACAAGGTCGCGATCATCCATCTTTGGGAAGGTGTATCGCCATCGCGCCAGGCGTTGAACCTCCTGTTCTTCTCCTCTGTATTGGTAGAGTCGTCGAGCTGGTCGTCGAGTCTGCTCATGTAGTACGGAATGTCGAGGAATTCAGATAGTTCCTTGATGAGTGCGATGGTGGTGCAATATATGATGCCCCTATCTTTCTCCTGCAGGACGATCTGAGCGATGAGTTTCGACGACTTTTTCCTTGAGCTGTGCGGCAGATACCGAGATAACGGAGTAGCTGATGTTACTTCGGTGAAGCGGGGCTTGTATGACGTGTACGAGCGATGGTGGGATCTGCATCTGGGAGCACAATCTGGGTAAAGAGATAGGGGATATTGTGGCTGTGAGGAATGTTATGGGTTTAGTCAAGGCAGTGATGAGGTGAAAAAGTTTGAAACAGTTGTGGTAGTCGTCTGAGGTGAAAATGTGATGAGCTTCGTCGATGAAGACACGCATGAGCCTTTGTTTGACAGATTGCGCCCAACTGAAAGAAATTGTCTGTCCCTGCCTGATGCGCAGATACAATAACGATCTGAGCCGTTAAGACATTCTGGATATGGGGATATTGGCCTCCCTCAATACGTGTAGTGGTCAACCGTCGTGCCATATCCTCTGTCAACTGCCACGAGGGGTGTTATAACTATGAAGAGTGCGTGAGGGTGAATCAATGGAGCCGCAAAAAATGCTAGACTCTTGCCACTACCGGTGGGCAAGACACCCAGAACATGCTCATTGGTTAAACAGCTCTGCACGAGCTCTGCCTGGTATGAAGAGGTGAATGAAGGGCTGGGATTTCCGAGAAAAAGTGGCCGTAAGGTGTCTAAGAGGTTGGGGTCGACAGCGAGGTGGGGCGATGATATCATTTTAGATACGCCAATGGAAGCAGCAGGGTTGACGCCAATGTAATGGCCAAACATGTCCTGGAGCCCTCTGAGAATGCCGTTGCCCATTCCAGTCGCAATGTTTCTGAGTTCGTCTATGATTTCGACACCCATTGACATGATGGCCTGGTGCGCAGCATTGTAGACAGTGGTTTTGAGAGGTTCCAGAAGGCGATCGTATAATTGTGCGTGAGTGTCGCCTGTTGATTGCTGACTTTCTAGTTTGGTACAGTTCTCGTGTTGTCCGATTGTGGCGTGCCAATGTTTGCTGACCCTTTGCATCGACGTCACCGCGGTGTGAGATATTTGGGTAAGCACGTTGGTAGTCTGCAGAGAGTAGTGTGCCTCGCCAACCGCTTGAGAATGACTGAACGCTTGATGAATGGCTAGAAGCTCTCCATCTTCCACGTCCAAAATGCCAAAATCTGCCTTAGAGATATTGATGAGCATAGTACTCATGACTTGTCTCCAATCTCTGATCCCTATCCCTCGCCCGAGATAACGCAGCGTGATGTTGGTTAGAGACTGGGAAAACTGATGGGTATCCATGGGTGAGCGATCCTGGACAAAAATATATGAAAGGTATGCCTGCGCTTTGGGGACCGGCATCACATATGTGGCTAAAGCTGCTGCTGCGGGATAGATAACCCCCAGTATGACCAACAGAAGTCTTGATGCGGCGTGGCATGGACAACGCGCTATGAGGTGTCCATGACCCTGAATGCTGGCAGTCTTCACGTAGGTTGTAGAAATCGTCAAAAGACCGTTGAGTATGAAAAGTTGTCTCGGGATAGATAACCCCCAGTACGACCAACAGAAGTCTTGATGCGGCGTGGCATGGACACGCGCTATGAGGTGTCCATGACCCTGAATGCTGGCAGTCTTCACGTAGGTTGTAGAAATCGTCAAAAGACCGTTGAGTATGAAAAGTTGTCTCTGACCCTGACCATCGATTCGAAATTTCAAGTGGTTGCATTTAGTGCCGTGCGCGCCTCCGCCCCAGGTAGATACCACGCAATAAAACATGGAGGATACAAGTTCGTTAAGGATTGCGATCCATTCCCATATGTTACCTGCTGTAGGGTTAGCAGGGATAGCGTGCACGATCAGACTGTCATACCTTGGTGGGGTTTGCGAATGCCTTGTATTTTGGAAAAGAATGAGGGGTGTTTCGCAAGGTGGTTGAGAAGGCGATCTTTGTAAATATCGAACCCGTTCTCCTGAAAGTTGAATATCGAAGTGTTTTGATCTGATTGCTGGGGTCGGTCTAGGAACCACTTATCCAAGTCAGTAGGATCGGTGCGTTGGTCGATGTAATGCAGGATGTCTTGCCATGGACAACCGCGGAACAAGGAGTCCATCATCTCCTTCATATCAAGGAGGGATGATTCAATCGAGGCCCTGAATTTGTTGAGCGGAAGTGCAAACCCGTCAATGGACAGAACAGTCATTTCGGTGTTCCACCCGAACCTTGGAAGGCCAGGTTCTGTGTAAGATAGGGTCGACAGAAATGCCATCTTTTGGCGGAGGCAGGTAAACAGCGTCTGGTTGCCGTCGATAAGATAAGGGCGGATGAGAGCAAGATAAGTCCTGAGAGAACAATGGTAAGTAAATGGTATGATACGTGGAGACGGTGAATACATGCTCGAATGAGTTGTCATTGAATTGCCCCATTTTCATATAAATCTCCGCACCAGCCGTTGCCCTGAAGCACCACTGGGCCTCGCTGATTGTGGGGGGTACTTGGCATACGCGATTGGTATTCCCAAAATCGTCAGAGAGGTGATAGGTGATGAGGAATAGCGTGAATAGGTCTTTCATCTCATTTTTCAAGAACTCTGGACTGACATGAGTGAGGAGGGAGAATATAACTTCATGTACTGAGTTGATAGAAAGTAAGTCGATGGCGGGTGAGCGTTTGGAGAGCGCGGTTCGCAATTGGGCATGAAGTGTGGTGAGGTTGGCGGTATGTTGCGGATGTAAAGGAACATCGAAGTTTTCAACGGGGCGGTAGAGATGACGAATGAGGAAGATGATGAATTTGGCGAGAAAGGTGCCGTATTTTTCAAGTTGGATCTTCTTGGGGGCGTTGAAATGGCGCTTTCTCCAATTCACCTGATGGACTGGTGGACAACAGTGCGCGGAGGGTAAGGGTCGACAGACGACCGAGGTTGGCTGCGATGTTCCGGTAATATTGTCGCGTGACCTCGATGAGGTACAGAAAATCTGGCTCGCCATCAGGGTTAGACACAGTTTGCCTGAGGGTCTTGAGGTCTACGTTCTCAATACAGTGTTCCCAGTTAGTTTGAGCAAGAAGGGGACCTCTTGGTCTCTGATTCGACGGGCGGTGGTAAGTAGTTTCTTTTGCATGGAGACCGCGTTCAGTGACAAAAGCCTGGACTTCCCTTAGGGCATCTGTTTCGGATCCGAGAGAAAGCGGGTCGACTTCAAAATAGCGCAAATCGCCTCTAAACATCCCAATCTGGTGACCGATGGTTCGATTGTGCGCGCAACGTGACAATGGAAGACTGTCGTGTTCCTGCACACAGTGGCTGTGAAAGCGTTTTTTGGTTTTAAAGAGAGTGTGGCTTGTGCAGCCCGACACAGTACATTTGAAAAGACCTGGGATGATTTTCATGCCGTCAATGGCGAATACTGGGGCATTTGGGATGTGATTTGGTGTATGAGCTTCTAATCGATCAAGGATGGTGTTAAAGTGATTTTTGGGCAGAAGATATGCCTTTTTATGATGCCTGCGACGATGGCCCCACATTTTGTGCCATGGGATGGCAATGGCGCAGTCCAGACAAATAGTCAGATGGAAGACGGGATCGATGTGAACACTGCATTGGACAATGCGGGCAAGCAGGTCTGCGAGGTCAGATGGTGAATCGAGGTCCATGGGTGTCATCAGCTTGCCATCGTCGTCTGCATCTGATTGATCTTCGTCTGATTGATCCGCATTCAGGTCACTGTCGGGTTCGAAGCGCTCGTCGTCTGTTTGCTGGATGTTTGGTTTGGATTCAGGGGTAGAGTGGTTGACGTCGAGGAGCGTGTCGCCTTTGAACAAACGAGTGAGGGAAAATTTGTTGCTATGTGTGGAGGTTACTTCGAGCAGTACGTGCGCGCGAGCGTGAAGAGCTGCACATATGGAAGTAGTTGGGAGATCGGTGGCTGGAGATGTGTTGTTGGACCACGAATGCTGGGCATTAGGTAGTGTCGAGTCGGATGAGCATAGACCACGGGATAGTTCATTGTCATTGTCCTCGTCTTCTGTTGCACCGCCATCGGTGCCCTCGTCGGACTCAAGCTCGCCAAGGGCGTCTAATGTGGAGAGGGATGCATGAGTTGTGTTAAGTGTGTTGCGACGGTTGACTTACAGTAACCGTCATCAGTGGAATTCATTGCGACATCAGTAGCTAGGGGGGATTCGTGATCGGGTAATGCAACTTTGTCTGTGGGGCCAGGGTGCACAATCTTTTTCATGAGGCTTTCAAAGAGGTGCGAGTCAACATGAGTATGTGAAGTCAACCCGCACGGACAATGGAGTTGGCCTTGAGAAGTTCTAAATACAACCCCTGGAAAACAGTGAGTGTATGCTATCAGATCGTTATAGCATTACGTACGTTTCTGGCCTTCCCACACAACAGTGACATTACCGTGGTACTTAGTTCGATGAGTCTTCTGTTTAGCTTTGGTTTTCAGCCAGAGATGGGGTACTGGACAGTTGGAGGCCTTGCACGAACTGCATAACCATCAATTGAGGCTAATAAGCAAATGATGCAGACGTACGGGGGGCCATTGAACTAAAGAATCTTCGCCCGGGTCAGGTGTGGGTGAAGAGATGAGCACAGCGATATTGCCGACAGACGCAATGGAGGCGTGTGGTGGGTTGTATTGTCGGTGATACAACGCTCGCCAATTTCACGAGGAAGGTAGGGCAAGAACTGGTAATCCTCTTCGAACTTAAGGCGTACCTTACCTAAGCTCACCGAAGTCGACGGTGTGGTCGATGGTACGTCCCTCGCGAATTTTGCAAAGAAGGTAGGCGCGGAACAGGTGATCTGGTGTCAAGCACAGTAAGCATCATTATTGGAAGTCCGATCGAGCTGGGATGATGGATCAATCTATGTCGAGTGTTGGTAGAAGTCGCGGATGTATTTGGTATGACTAATCACATCATTCACATGTCGTCCTCGAAGTATTGCAAGTCACGTCTCAGGTTGGTTACGCTGTTAAGGGCACAGCGATATTAATTGAGGCCTGAGGAAAGATATGATGCAGAGGAATCTTTTGGTGTTAATTGTCGGTGTTACGACCCTCGCGAATTTCACGGGGGAGGCAGGGCGGGAAGTCACGGTGGTGATCCTGTTTGCAGTTTAGTCACGGTAGCCTAGGACAGTTGGTTGGATAGGCCAGTGTGTCGATGGTTACATCCCTGGCAAATTACGCGAGGAAGGTATGGCGCAAACAGGAGGTATCCAAGGAAGGGATCACCACAGGAGAGTTCAGACATCAATTGAGAATTGACTGAACATACATAAGGATCTAAATAAAAAAACGACGTGACAGAGATGGCAGTAGTAACAATACATATCACATGACCATATTGCAGAGAACCATAACCGGATGCAAATACAGCGTGGTCGTCCATATGTGACCTTTGAAATATAAAAATTCCAATTCAAACTCAAAGTCACGTGTCAAAATATGTCCTGAAAGTGTTCGAGGATCCAAGTCACCAGTCCAACGACGAGTCGTCAAAGTCCCATGTCCAATTAATATTAAGTCATCGAAGTCGTATGTCTGATTACGTCACAAAAGTTAAACGCTAAACACTAATAAGTATCAATATTTGACCTGAAAGTCTGCGAAGTCACGTGTCCAACAATTGATGCTGAAAGGCTTCCAGAGTTCCAAATCACATGCATTCCAACTATGTCGTATGTAAAATAGTGCACATTGGAGCAATGAGTGTAAGATGTAGTGAGAGTTGTACAACTACATGAAACTAGAGTTTATTGTATGGATGATTTAACATATACGCAGAGTAAATGAAATCTCAAGGGAGCAATTTGTTAATAAGGAAGGTGACCGTGTAAGAGCCCGGGACTTGAACATTTGAACGGCGAGGAGCTGAGACCAAAATGAGCTGTAAGTACTGTTTCCCTGATTTAGACATGAGTGTGTTTCCTAGAGGACCTCTCAGTTGCCCTGGTGAGGGCTAAGTCAAGCATTGAAAGTTATATGAAGCTAACATAGAGTCTCAGCGAGTGATTGAACAACGCTACTATGTATTAGTGAGTACCTAAAATATAGTCTAGGTGCGAGTCAGTACATGTGACTAGTAGAACTGCAAAATATCGAGTGATTGAACAACGCTCTCAGGAGGTAAAGGTGGAACAAGATGGGTGCAAAGAATATTGTAGTTACATAATGATCAGTGGCTTGTGATGGTGTGTGCAAGGAACTGCATAGTACATACAATAAGATGTCAACAAAAGTCATAGGTGTTGAGGCGTTTGCAGCGAACATTGATATTGCCTGAGGCATGCCACGAATTATTAGACGTTAGTATGACATTAGGATGATTTCACAGGAAAGATGCGAGTAGTTGATATGAACGAAAGAATGTTTACGAGGATGGTTGTGAAACCGAGAGACATGGTTGAGACTATGAATGTGAAGCATTCAAGTTCGTAGCGGGTGGAGAAGTAAGTTGGGAGAGAAAGCAATCTCCAACATGTCCAATCTAGTGCCATTCGAAGGGGAGAGAATAGGAGGTTTGACCATATAAGACACAGAAGTTCGAAGGAATAAGAGCACAGGTCGAATTAAAGCTGGGCAGGTGAACTAATGCGTCGCACCGAGGAACGTGGACTGTAGGGGACATGGGGATCTGGAATGTCGTCGGAGAACGCGCGCACAGACCATGTCAATGACACAAGATATATTTGGGTAGATGTCGGTCCACGTCATCATAGAATTGCATGCTGATGGTATTAGAAGGGGATAGCCAAGATTTGAAAATGTCGTAGAAGTGTTGTAAGCCATGAAAGTCTTGAAGGAGAATTGGGTGTGGGAAGTGTGTAGACGGAAGGGTATGTTGTAATGATCGAGGTAATTCTGGGTGTTAGTGGGTTGCACAATGTGAGGAACGGGATAGAGAGGATAATGCTGAGCCTAACTAACCCTAACTGAGGCAGGGTGTGATGAAGTCATAGGAGCTAATTAACCCTAACACCTAACGATAAGGGACCGAGGCAGATTATGCCCTAACCCTAACTGACTGACCAATCTAACGCCTAACGTCAAGTGACCGAGGCAGAATATGCCCTAATCCTAACTAACTAACCAATCTAACACCTAACTTTGGAGGAGGCTGATGTGTTGGGGAATAAGTCGAGAGGTTTGGGTCCGGGAGATAAAGGGTTTAGCGCGGGAGCAAGCTGTGAGTATATAGATTACAATGACAAAAGGTCGAGGTCAGGAAGTGCAAGCAAAAAAAAGTTATGGGCGGACCTTCTCCTGACCCCCTCTAAACCACCCAGACCGAAGTTTAAGGCATAAGTCGTGCAGTTTTGAGCCAGGAGGCAAAAAAAGTAGAGCGGGAGCGAGCTGTAGGTCTGTAGAGTACAATGACAAAAGGTCGAGGTCGGGAAGTGCGAGCAAAAAAAAGTTATAGGCGGACCTTCTCCTCCTCCCCCTCTAAACCACCCAGACCGAAGTTTAAGACATACATCGCGCAGTTTTGACCCAGGAGGCAAAAGAAGTAGAGCGGGAGCGAGCTGTGGGTCTGTAGAGTACGATGACAAAAGGTCGAGGTCAGGAAGTGCAAGCAAAAAAAAGTTATAGGTGGACCTTCACCTCCTCCCCCTCTAAACCACCCAGACCGAAGTTTAAGGCATAAGTCGCGCAGTTTTGACCCAGGAAGCAAAAAAAGTGGTGCGGGAGCGAGCTGTGGGCCTGTAGAGTACGATGACAAAAGGTCGAGGTCAGGAAGTGCGAGCAAAAAAAGTTATGGGTGGACCTTCTCCTCCTCTCTCTCTAAACCACCCAGAATGGGATGATTGGGCATAGCTTGAGGAGCTCGGCTCAGTGCTGAGTTGAATAAATTCGTACACTGTGCTACAGTAGACATGAAACACGTTGAAATGTTAATTCACAAACGGAAAATCTCATATTACACTTAAAATGGCGTCAGAGACTTATTTTATTCGGAAAGTACATTATTCATGTGAACTCTCATCTGTAATATGAATACTTTATATGTAAAAAGTGAGACTTAATGTATATCCGACTTGGAGCTAGCGCTCAAGCGCTCATGGATGATCTTGACCAGTGAACAAGTGTATAAATTGATTGAGTATATAACGAACACGCCGCCCTCGTCTAATTCGCGTCTCTTTCTCTTTCCTTCAGCCCATGATAACTTCTCGCATTAGAACATTGATAACACTATGCCAGCAGGTCCTCATGTTAATTCCGATGATATCGAGACTTTGATAACTGAAGTCGAAGTCGCCGCATCAACACACACAAATTTTAATGATGATGTAAGCCCTTCTCAGAGGCCTGACAGCATCACTATACCTCGCATATGAGATCAATTTCGATCCTGAACCAATGTCATCTCCCTCGAGTCCACCAGCCTTTCCTTACCCTCATCCAGTGCAAATGCATGGGCAGTTCGAGCATCTAGAGCAACACTACAGCACTCGTTGCGCCTGCAAATTGAAGATTCATGACGCGGCTGTCAAAAAATCACTTGCAAATTTTACCTCGACAAATCACATTCAGTCAGTACTAGCAGGTCACACAGAGTCGTAAGTTCCTGCAATTTCATGTTATTTCAGTGGTTGATATCCTATATTTTAGCAGCTCTGGTGTCTCCGAGTCTAGGGTTACTTCTCCTGCACCGAGTGATGCACCACAGAGTTGCCGCTCCCTCACTGTCGCCGTGCCGCCATCAACCTGTCCAAAAGCTGGTGCCCCTGCGCAGCTAGTAACATTTACACTCGTTCAAACGCAGAAAGAGAATAAGCTCCTGGCACCTTCACGCACCAAGAAGCGTAAGGCGGTAGATACGCCGCAGACATTCGTTTCTGCCGCGACCGTGACCAAGAGGGCTTGAGAGTAGACTACAAGTGTTTTTCTTTCGTTGCTCCGATTCTCCTTTGCTCGGATATCTACTATATCCTCATGTGCAGTTGCCCTTACGAAGCTTCCAATATTCTCTGCCCTTTATTTTCGATACACAGCCACTATTTCTCTTGGCTTTGGCATCTTAGTATTACTGCCTGATAATTGGATTTTTTGATCATTGAATTTGAGCAAGTAAGGAAACTTCAGCGTGTCCCCCTCCCCAGGCCTAGGAGACTTTTCATCGCAAACCGCTTGTTATTTATTGAATGATGCTGAGAAGTATTATAGGGCTGACAAATTATATTACATAATACCTCCAAATGATGCGTTTGCAACATCAATATTCCACTTTTCACCTACTTCTACCTACTGCGGCGTGTAAGTTATCTAGTAGTTGTGATGAGTAGCTGCCATTCAGAATCAACGAGCAGTTTATTTCTTTCTGTGACCTCTGCTAGCCAGCCTAGGTATATAATCTATTACGTCTACCTGGTTGTTGCTATCTAATGATATTCTGCACTTTAGACACCCCCTGTCTTCACCTCCGACATCTCTTGCACCTAGTAGTTCTCCTATCAAGGGAACCTTCTCTCCTGTCACCATGTCAGTGCTGAAGAATCCGTCGAGCCCAAATATCACCGACAATGGTCATCATGCCCTCGATGAGGGTAGCCCCATATTCACCACGGAAGGTCCTGCTTGTCGTGACCGTCGTAAGCGTTCTCACATCCAGTACACCGTATCTCAAGTTGGAGACCATGACGAGGATCTAGAAATGCCTTCAAAGAGATTAAGGACCTTACAAACAACGGTGTGTTTCGTCTTCATATGAATAGTATATGTTCTAATGTTTGTTTGTTTTCACAGTGGAACTGCTCTGGGCTTCCCTCCGAAACTTCAGCCTATTTTAACGAGCGTATGCTTCAGCTTTCTCAAATCTCTCATCAGGCTATCTCTGCAAGAATGCGATACCAACGTGTTCGCATCCACGAACTTGACATGATAAGGTCCATCCTCAATGACGAAAATGAGCTGGCTCAAAAACAGATGAAAATGATCGAATCGCAAATAGCCCATCTTCGTAACGCATTGGAGGCTGATGGAGTGACAGGGATAGGGAACAGGTTCGACCCTGGTGACTATCGACAGGCTACGCATGAAAGTTTCTCTGATATTGGAACGGACATTCATATTCCCATGACTTCAGAATCTGATTCCGTCGTGTCAGGCTGTGCGGATGACGAATAATTATTTAAGATGTACTTGTTCAAGTTAGGGCGTCTGCATCGGTGACACTTCCATGTATGTAGCTTTCATTCACTTCAAAACAAAGTTGTAGAGCCGTTTTCTTCACTGTAGCCAATGGAATATGATGAAGATCACCACCAGCCGCACCAATCCTTGAAGAAATCAGCCAGCCGCATTAAGTTAGGGCAGGGGGTTCACCCAGTTTGAATCATATACTATGATCAGAATCCGGAATCCGGACCATGACCCTTTTGCTTATCTACCACGAGGTCGGCGACTAGCAGAACCATTGTCTTTCGATGATGGACTTATAATCCCATTCAAAGCACAGAACAGGTGAAAAGAACTATGTTTCGTTAAATCTGTATGATGATTTGATTATCTTATCAAATTAAGTCTAGTATTAAGGGCATACAGCGCAGTTGAGTTGCACGATGTGCCATGTCTTCACACGGTGACCCTGCATGAGGATGAGAATGCATTCCAGTTTGCGCCCTAACAACTGTTATCTGACATGACATTCTCTTGCGACCTCAACTCAACTTTCCAGAGTCATTCAAGTCCTCTCTATCATCATGTCGGACCATTCACGGTCATCTCAACGAATGCACCCGTATCTGCGAACATCGACCATACAGCGCGCCACCTCTCAAGCCTCCCCAGCTGGTAGTGTGATAGGCTCACAAAGTGATCTTGAGAGTGTGATATACTTCGGTTCAGAGCCTCCATTACAGAACCTTTCTGAGCAAGAGGCACTCAATGTCTCAATCAAGGCCCTTCCATGGGCGGAGCAGTGACTGCCTGGAATGGGTGCGCAAGCATCTTGTCTTAAAAATGTTCCACGAAGGTTGGATCGCACAATCAACAAATGATGAGAAGGCGAAGTTAGGACAAGTGGCTGAGGAATTTTTGAGGCAGGCCAACGATATGTTTCACTGCGGTATTGTTACCATCCTGCCTGCACGTTGTACTACTACTGACTGAGTCGGAATTTCAAAACCAGATGTCAAAGCGACCGAATCTAACGTAAAATATCTGCTCGAGGTGGAACTTAAGGGTGTCCGCTGAGCTCGCAGGCTCGGCAAAACTTGGACAGGGAAAGGGTCCATATGACAGGGTCCATTGCCAGGAATGCACGGAGTGTGGGTGTCCGAATTGCCCACATGATGGATGTATAGATTGTTACGTTGTACAATGCTTTTCAAACATTAATTTTTTTTGGTCAAAATACCGAATTCTCATCAGACAGCTTAGAGTAAATTGGCCAGCTTGAATGAGGTACTGTCCTCGGAACGGCAGCAGGTGGGTTTGCTTTAGCAGGACCAGGGATCACGTTACAACTTACCAGCTGTGCATGTGTGTAAGCATAATATATGTCCTTTGATTCTCCTTTTCCTCTCTTCTCACTCTGGACATTCATGGATATTCAAAGCACTGAACATTGCGTCTCTCTACGAGGGATATAAGCACTAGTAACGTTCACTCGCCGAAGTGACTTGGTATGTACGCGGGCTTAAGCGCTGAAGCTGAAGTACTTGTCCATACACAGCTTAATGACATTCTTATCGGGCCTATTCACTTCCTCATTTAGCACTGCATGCGTGTGCAAAGGCACCTAATGAACCGCGCGGCGTTCGAACGTTCGTGGCAACCGATTTATCCCCCATCCTTAGCGAGTTCTTAATGAACAAAACCGGTTAATGTGGTGCGAAGTGCTCGTACGTACGTGCAGTTCATCTTCCTGCTTCACGACACTCGGAATGTCTGTTAAAATCAGATATTTCTTAGGTTTAGCCACTTTGGCTTGGAGTCACTTTGGCCAAGGGTCCGAGTTCGTCCTGGCTGGCTCAGCGGTCCAGAATAGTGCTACTACCAGTACTGTTCCCTCTTCATATGCGGCCCCAGGAGCGTTCCCAACTTCTCTCTACTCTAATTACTACAATAATCCAACGGCCACCTCTGCGCAGCCACAGCCAGTCATTTCAGATCCTGTCACAGTAATTCTCTACTGCAACTGCTACGCAACTGAAACTAACTCGCTCTTCAGCATGAAATCTTTCCATTTTCCCTGACAGACCCGCAAAACATTCCTCAGGTAACGTGCATTCCCAATGTGTGCCGCGTCGGTTTCATCGTTTTGACCCTCCGGCTTTGACAGAATGATACCGTGGATCCTCACCCACTTCCACCCCAGGCGTCCTCTCAACAACTTCTTCAACAGGCTGTAGCGCAGATCAAGTCAATTGCAGTAAACCCGATGTTCACTACATCATGTGCACGGTGCCAGGCTTCCCTAGAAGTGGCCAAATTTCTTGCTCTTGCGGCTCCTGAACAAGGGACCAACCTCGCTTTGACGCTTTGCGAGTACTTCGATTATTCATCCTCTTGCGAGAAAAATTATGGACCTCTCGTCTTGGGACCGATCCTTACTCAAGTCGCATCTTTTGCCGATGTTGGAGGATATGACGGACAGGTAAAATTAGTTGCTGAAACGGAAGAATACTGCTCATGATGTCTCCCAGTCGATTTGCTCCGAGTTTCTTGGCTTATGTCCAGCACCTACGACAACGACTCTCAACCTCACTGGCTGGTTTGCAAAGCCGAAGCCAAACCCTCTTCCCCCTCCCAAGCAGCCCAGTGGCCAACTGATGAAAGTCTTGCATCTTTCGGACCTGCATATTGATTCCCGTGCGCGGCATTTGCACGTATGCGTTGATTATCTCCACTGATATTCTATTGACAGGTTATGCGAACGGCGCAGAAGCAAACTGCACCAGTGGTTTGTGTTGTCGTGACAATGCTTACAATTCTCTCAGCCCTGAGACACCTCTCTTTCCTGCGCCACGATATGGCTCGTTCCTCTGGTTAGAGCTCGCCTTCACCGGAAGGATACAATCTGACATCTTTTTAGCGACGCTCCGTATTCATTGATCACGTCCATATTGGAGGCCATCCCACCATTGACAGGAACTGAATCAACTGGTTTCGACTTTACTTTGTTCACTGGTGACCTGTTAGCGCATGACCCAGATAACCAGCAGTCTAGGTACGTGTTTTATACTCATTGTCGGTCTTTTCTCACTTCCCTTCAAGGGTTATGAACGAGTACGCTGAGGTAATATTTGTGTTTTAGAATTAGACCGTTAACATATCGTGTGTCCTGGCAGGTCGTCCTTTATGATCTACTCAAGCGCATGCTCGGATCTGGCCCTACCTATGCTACGCTCGGAAACCACGATACTTGTCTACCAGATCAAGCTTCGCCTTCATCCCTAGGAGGTGCGTTGGGGCAACAATTCAGCTGGTATAATTTCCCTTTCATCAGTTGCCATCTTATATCTTATCTCATCTACTAGGCTATACGACCACGTTACAGCTTTATGGGAGCAAAAGGGATGGCTTCCGGAGGCTTCTGTCGAGTTCTCGCGTGCTCACTATGCAGCATACATGGTTAAGCGTGCAGATGGCCTGAGAGTAATCAGCTTGGACACCAACTTGTGTTAGGCAAAATCTTTAACTGGCACGAACACTAACAAACTTGTCTACAGGGTACAGGTACGTAATCAATGATCCAGACACAGTCAAAAGCTCCATGATATAAACTGCGTAAAGGTCGAACTACTTCAATTACATCAACTCTTCCGAACCAGATGTTTCTGGAATACTAAGGTTCCTCACTGATGAACTTCAGGACGCGGAAGACGCGGGAGACCGAGGTGCGCTGATGGATGATACTACATTCCAATCGATCTGACAGTGCTCAGTCTGGATTATTGGTCACGTCGTCAGTGGTTGGGATGGTTCAAATTCGCTGCCGAACCCAACCAATCTCTGTAAGTTCAACCTCTCGATTATCGTGCAATATGCTGAGCAGCGTCTGCGCTAGTTTATCAAATGTAAGTTCGCTGGATGTTGAAATCACTGCATGGAACTGATATGCCTAGTGTTGATCGCTTTTCCCCTCACGTTATTGCTAGTATGTTATTCCTCTACAATGCCCGAACCAGTCTGACGACTCACATAATCAGACATCTTCTGGGGTCACACCCACGAGGACCAGCTATCCGTATGAGCCGATGCCACTTCATAGAAAGGGAACGCTGACATATCTTCTTGGTCCAGATCTACTATGCCAATAATGGCACGAATATAAGTGCTGAGACCGCTCAGGCGGTATCCTGGGTATGTCCTTTGACGGATCCATAGTAACGATCAATCTAACTTGGCTTTCAGACTGGGCCATCTGTAACACCCCTCACCAACCTGAATTCCGGGTTCCGGGTTTACGAAATTGACTCTGCTGTAGGTTTTCCTACTTACGTCTGCTAAATCCAGCTTACACATCCACGCAGACCTTTGAAGTGGTCGATGCTTATACGTCAGTTTTTCTCCGGACTGCTGTCACCAGCTGGTACTTACAAGTTCCTTGTAGCTGGAAGAGTTACGTCAACGATTATCCTGCACTGGATTCGCAGACTCAATTCGGCCCTACTTTCGAGTTCGAGTATAACACTCGTGAGGCATATGGAGGAAACATCACCTGGGGAGCAACTGACCCACTGAATGCGACCTGGTGGCATCTTGTAACTGAGCGTGCGTATATTCCTTCTTTTCCACCACCATCGCTATATATATGTTATTTCAGAGATGGAAGTAGACCCGACTTTGATGGAGGTAAGTTCGTGACTAGATGTTTTTAACTTGTTATCTCACTTATTCCTAGGCCTTCAATTCATACCAGGGAAAGGGCTCGGTACTCACCCCGCCATGCACGGGCGAATGCATTCCTGCTAGGATCTGCTATATCCGTAGTGGCTCTGCTAGCATCGCCAAGCAGAACTGCATATCAGGTTATGGATCAGTGCAGTAGTAGTTTATCTTAATTCCTTAGAGCTGTGATAGACTTTGCAAATAAGCACGTTTAAGTAGTGTTGTGCGGTCGTCCATAATACTCCATACCGACGATACTAATCAAATATTGAGAATTTCCTGTCTTCCACTGTATATGGTCTGACTAGCCAGGCTGATGCAGCCTATGGCATCTTCGACGATGCTGCGCATGCGTTACTTACGATCTCGCATGCTATTAGTGGTCTAGCCAATCGATAACTGGCGCCTCTAAGCACATGTCCATCATTGATAATTCTCCTCGCTAACATGCAGTAGGCGCCTGTCTATCTTTCATGCCACACACCACCCTCGTTCCATTGTCCACCTAGCCATCCTTCCCACCTATTAGATGGATGAAAACAATCCTCCCCAGAAGAAGCGCTGGGAGTGGTCGAAGCCACATTCAGACCCACATTCGGTAGAGGACACTGGAGGCAGGAAAGCAGCCAGTCAAGATGTATGAACTTTCGTCTTTAGAATTTCGGATTGTTGCTAATCATATCAGCCATATTCTCTCT